AGCTGGTGACAATACCTTTGGATCAACCCTCGTATTTTTATTTATAACATTCATAGATTGAAAGGGGAGCTTTGTCACAAAATAATGTTCTGTCGGCAAGTGAGCTATCTATAAAGTTCAAAAGAAACATTTACGAAACAAGTTAAAATTTATAAGGACAGTCGTGCACATTCATGGAGGAAAAGGGGCATATTATCCAAAAAATAATTCGCCAGTGAAAATCTCTGCGATCTTTTTATCAGAATCACGGGGCGAGGAGAATTCAATATTTTTATGTTTTTAAGATCAATGTCGGTATGGAATAAATAAATTTTTAATAGTTTCTTATTTAAAAGGATTAAGTAAGTGGTTCAAATTGAATTGGCCCTTTAGATGCATTGGAGCTGTACGCAGTTTATAAAATAAAGAGATGGGAAGAAAGTCTACCCACGTGTCTATACTTAGGGACGTCGTACATCAATTTAAGGCATTTGCAAAGTCATAAAACATGCATGATATAAAATAAATCTAGCTACTGCTCTTACAAGTATTGAAGTTAGAGAATGCGTGAATCATTGAGACTAGTAATTCAGATATGTCTTCTCAAACCAGTAGTCATAAAATCTCAACAACAAAGATTCTCTTTTTTTCTTTAATTTTCTTGGCAATAAAAAGAAGCAAATCCAGTATTACCATGGTGGGATGTGTTTGTTCCCCCCAAAACCTAAATGACAACAGAATATCACAGTATTTGTAGTTTATATTCTGAGGCACGAAGCATTGAGGGGGGGGCATAGGAGGGGACACTTTTTCAATAATTAAAAGTTGCTAATTTAATAATGAAAATGTTCATTGAAGTTGGAATCTCACCCCCCCCCCTCCCCACCTCAAACCCCACGAAATAATATTTTTGGATTTGGACTATTTTCCATTTTCTTTTTTCGCTTGTCATACTTTCTTGGCTACTAGGACTTGAATCCTTTCAAATTGCGCGCAAACATTCTGCATAGTGAACACATTTTGTACCGTTAACCGTCGCCATGCATTTTCAACCGTTGCTATATGTATTATTAAAAACAGTGCACAGGCATGGTTTATGCATGCGATAGTGTAACAATACTGTTTTAGAAATGTTTTGAGACCTATCAAATTTATATTTTTTGATATGAAATTATGGCAAAAGCATTAAACACAATTAAGTTTTGAAGATTTTTTTCTGGTTCTCATCCTTCTGCCCTCCGGAGACATGACTTCGTTACAATTGTGTAAAATGTATGTCAATTCATACGTGATTTATTTCTTTACATTGGGGTAAAATATATGTCAATCCATACATAATTTACTTCTTTACACTGGGTAAAATGTATGTCAATCCATACATGATTTACTTCTTTACACTGGAGTAAAATGTATGTCAATCCATACTGATTTATTTCTTTACATTGGGGTAAAATATATGTCAATCCATACATGATTTATTTCTATACACTGGGGTAGAATGTGTGTCAATCCATACATGATTTATTTCTATACACTGGGGTAAAATATATGTCGATCCATACACTGGAGTAAAATGTATGTCAATCCATACATGATTTACTTCTTTACACTGGGGTAAAATGTATGTCAATCCACACATGATTTATTTCTTTACACTGGGTAAAATGTATGTCAATCCATACATGATTTATTTCTTTACACTGGGGTAAAATGTATGTCAATCCATACATGATTTATTTCTTTACACTGGGGTAAAATGTATGTCAATCCATACATGATTTATTTCTTTACACTGGGGTAAAATGTATGTCAATCTATACTTGATTTATTTCTTTACATTGGGGTAAAATATATGTCAATCCATACATGATTTATTTCTTTACACTGGGGTAAAATGTATGTCAATCCATACATGATTTATTTCTTTACACTGGGGTAAAATGTATGTCAATCCATACATGATTTACTTCTTTACACTGGGGTAAAATGTATGTCAATCCATACATGATTTATTTCTATACACTGGGGTAAAATGTATGTCAATCCACACATGATTTACTTCTTTACACTGGGGTGAAATGCATGTTCCTAATGTCTGAATGAATCATTTGTTTCACATTACTTATCTTTTTGTAAAGTTTTAATTATAAGCAATACAGATAGATATAAGTGCATGGAAGTAATGGTAAATACAATGTACCTTAAAGATACTCTGTCATATGTGAATTTTATTAATCACTGATGTTAAGTCGAGTTTTATTGTCGACCGCCTTATAATTCCACAATAATCCTGACGAAGCGAGGATAAATTGCCTAGGTCGTCTGTTTACCCTTTGAGAGGGAAAATGACCTGATATGACCCGATGTTTGAAATTCTCAATCGAACCTGAATATCTAAGTAAATATAAGAGCTCAGATTCTCCTCTAAAAATTACGCCCTGCAAAGAATATTTGAAAATTTTTGAGTGGGATGATATCTTAAGATATAAGGCATTTCTGTCAACCAAGTCCTCCCGACATTATCAATTTCAATAATTAGAAGTTTCAGTAAAGCACATTTGTTAAATTTGTTTAAAAGGGTTTAAACAGGTATATTCGACTGGACTGGCACACACAGCTTTTCTATACTGCGTAGGCGACTCGAAGAGAGAGAGAGAGAGAGAGAGAGAGATCGTGGTATGCATTAAAACTTGGTCAGTATTATTATATCTTCAAATTACTATGAAGTTGAATTTATTGGGAAAACAAATTTATTTCGTAAGAAATTATGTATACTTAGTAATTTCGGGGTTGCTTGAGATGGATTTTTTTTATTTTGTCAAAATTTTTAGAATTTAAAAGTCGCGTATATCAATTAATTGATTTATCAGAATTAAATACACATTTTCAACAAAGTGTCGTCCTATTTAGAGATATTCATGCTTATTCTAGGTGGTTATTCTCGCAAAACACACAGAATACCCAATTAGTCAAACTATATCATGAATCTCCAAATAAGGAGATAATTGTTTTTGCCATAGTTGTCTAAAAATCATAAATGTTTCCTTATTGCTAGGAAAGATTGATTCTTAAGTACATGTATGTTGTTGACAATGACCTACAAATGGCCATATCTTAGAGGTCAAGGTCACATAGTCATAAGATCTAGAATTTTACTATTGGAACATTTGTGGAACTATGGATTGGAAAGAATTCACTTTTTAGTATGTTGTTTTCTTAAATAAAGTTTCACGACTCAGATTCATTTCTCAAAGGACAATGTCCCTAAGCAATGATCTAATCTCAGAAGATGACGGTGTAACCATTTACAAACTAAAAGGACTTGTCCTCAATGTCAAGGTCATTGGGATACGTGTACATGTATTACATCTAAGTAAAGTAATTGAAAGAGCGTGCCTCCTCTAATTGACTCTTTGTAAAGAAAACATTTGTTTATTTGATACGATTCTTTCAAGTGCAAAATTGTACGAACTGATGTGGAACATTACTTTAGCAGACTAGATGATCAGTCCATCAACGGCTAGATAGGAGATCCCACAGATATAAAGACAGATCGAGTATAAGACAAATAGAACAACAAAAATGACGGTTGTCAATGAAAATATATCTGGATTATTTGAGTATATACTGGGAGATTTTTAAAGAATTTTGCATGCAGGTGATATGCAGTGAACATGATGGATTAAGCTTAAGGGGTGTGATTTATTGTGCTGAATGAAAAATGGTCCCAGGTCGAACTTTCTTGATGACAGTGCAGTTTTTAACGCCTTCTCGGTGCACATTATATTATTGTATAAATGACATAATATTTTATTTGTATAAAGGACGGTTTAATCCCCTGTCATTCATATGTTTTGCAGATCAGGACAATTCAGCAAGCCGAGATGTTAGATAGAACCGCCTGAAATAAAGATATTTGGGGTATGCATGCTTTCATTTTATAATTTTTTCTTATCTGTAAATAAATCCTGCAAAATAATTAAGTTAATCTAACACTGCTGGCTAACATGTAATTCTATTGGATCACTTAAACATTTATAGAAATCGAAACGAAAACACCGAGAAAACTTTTTTACATTTACTTAAAATGGAAGAGGGTTGGGTACAAATGAGAATTCACAAATGAAGGCAGTTTTAAATGTTCCCATCTCTTACTTAACTCACTAAATCGAGATACATATAGCAAGAATCCTTTGTAAACTGCACAGAGGGAAAAATACTTACTTATGGTAATTTTATTCAGTTTGAGTATTTTGCTCTCCGATCTAAAATGGATAAACTGAATTTGCAGTATATTACTGAATTTGTAATTCTTCTAAAATCTTAACGTATGATTATTACATGTAGGACAAGATAAATGTTCTAAACTAAAGTTTGCATTTTCAAGTTCTTATATTTCTTTTCATCAGTATTTCGTTGCTTTTGTTAATTGTTCATGTGCGATGTGTATATAAAATGGATAAAATCATTTCCTTTTTTTTTATTTACATTTTTGGGAAGAAAAGAATCTCTTGAATAAATAATGTCCATTTACACAAGAATGTATCTGATTATAGGCAACAACATAGCAGTATTCTAGCTTGCCTCGATGGGAAATTGGACTGTCGGGGAATTAGTTATTTACTAACAGCATGAAGAAGATATACTGAAAAACAAGGGCACTGTAATAATAATATTAAAGCAATGCAACCAAAATTAAGCAAAGATAAAAAAGAAATCAGGAAAATTGTGATCAAAAAGCATGAACTATTGAAAAAAGAAAATACAGGCACTTGACGGAATGTTTTGTACCACACATATTCGGTAAGGATAGTGATTTATTATGTGTCAACCAAGAGGTTCTCTGAACAGGTTTGATTTACAATAAAACAGCACAATGTTCCTATGCAGATAAGGCTCAATAGAATCTAATTTGTTCCCGCTTGTGCATGTGACATAATATTTCTACCAGTATACCTGGAGAGTACGGGGCGTGTTTAAATAACGGCGGTCTAATCCACTGTCATTCGTTTACTTCACAGATCAGGACAATTCATCACAGAGATGTTTAACAGACCAGTCTGTGTGCAACGGTATGCAAATATAGTGAATCTTTTCTTTTCTTTTTTTCTCTTTTTTTTTTTTTTTTTTTTTTTTTTTTAAGTCCTTTGGGTGAATTTTGTAAACTTTGCACTCACGCAGTTTGTTTTTCTAAATGTGCACCGTCATTTTTAAACAAAATTTTTGAAGCATTGATTGATTGATATCTATTTAAAATTGATTTGTAAATGTTATGCTTGATTGAAATTATGATTTACCAGTAATGTAGGTAAAGGGTGAAGATATCGAACGGTGATCAATCTAAAAAACAAAAGCCTCAAACAATACAAATATAGGGGAGGTCATAAAACACAGAGCCCTGGAAACTCTAGAGGTAGGATCATGTGCCTGAGAGGAGTAAGCATCTCGTGTTGGCCGGTCAAACACGCCGACGACGCCGGGGGCCCTATGTTTTGTATTGGGGTATACATGTACGTAATGTGAAGAAATCGGTTATGACAACTTTTATGCTCTAGCAGTGGCAACCGATTATAAGAGTACATGTACTTATCTAAAGTGTAAAATCAAAGCCCTTTAATAACTTAATAGATGAATATAAAAATATACTATCTTGAACAGCAATTAGTTTGGAATTCAATCTTTCAAAATATATATACTAAATATGTATAAAAGTCTTCTTATTTTTACAGAGTCATGGAAGTGTACAAATGCGTGTGGCTTACCATAGTGTTACTGGGGATTAGCCATGGACTCCAAACTAGCGAGGACCCCAGGAAACCGCAACAAACACCAGAAGACCAGTGTGTGATTAGTCTAAGAGACCCGACATTCGCCAAGTTCTTAGACGACCCCAAAATCGTTTTATCCGAGTTTACCTTTGAGTTGTTTAATTATTCTGTAAATCCACTAAGGACGGATATGACGTCAAACTATAAGCCATGGCGCTGGCATCGAACACGCACGCAGCACGGACGTACACTGCTGATGTTGTCCTTTCATTACGATGTCTTGTCCATGTCCATCTTGACCATTGGTGTTGAACATCACGATGTTGTTTTGATGGATCGCCCATTTGGTTGTTTTCAAAACATAACGGCCCTGGAAAGGGTCGCTTTGATACGGGATTTAATTCTGGACAACTTTCGATTAGAAGAAAAATCTAGTTCGCAGATCCAATTTGAAACACGTATAGAAAGAACGGTTTACGTCTGTAATGAGGTCGTGCTGAACAGTAATGGCTACGCGGAATTCATCAATCGTTGTTGTGGACAGAACCCTGATAACAGTATAACCTGCACTGACCAGGTTCAGCAGGGCTGGATTCTGCTCCTGTATATATGTATTACGTTTGTGAAGCTGATTGTATTTTGCTTCGCTCCGTTAATTATGCCCACTCAGATGTACAACGCTTCTTACGTGGCATCCGAGTACGCGGTAAAACTTTCCAAGGAGCTCAAGCTCAAACTGTTTGTGACTGAGAGCACTCAGACTTCCGTGAGATACAAGAAGAGACTCACGCTGGAGGATATCGCCGATTGGAGACGTTTCCGAGAGAAGCTAGAAACGTGTCCAATGGATGAAATTGTTCCGATCACAGTCCCCGAACTAAGACTCAAAGTAAAAGGAAAGCGGATCATTCCTGACAACGATCCGCCCACCGGAGTGTTCAGGACGCTGTATGACAATCTGATCCGCTGTAAGATCAAAAGGCTGGATCCGTTCACTCAGTGTTGTGACATGAGCGTGTACGCGTCACTGGAACCCATGATAAAGAACAAGTGCACGTGGCACATGTGCGTGCAGACGTTAGTCAAAGTGCTGTTGTTGTTGCTGGTTCCACTTCCGTTTTATGTGCGTGTGTTCATTTATTATTTCTTTGAGGAGGACGAGGTATTGTATCGAAAGAAAGTAATCAGCCACTTAGATCTGAAGCAAGAGTTTGATTTTTATAGAGGAAATATCATTCAGTATTTTTCTCCGACCCATGGGGTTTTTATTGCTACTTACGTGTTCTATTTTCTTTCGGGGGTAATTCTGGGCTTTGCCGATGAATCAGTGAGAGACAAACTGAAGTCCATTTCCAGAGATTCTTTACAAGACATGGCCAATGTGTCACGGACAAGTGTGCTACAGGTGATGCTACGTGTTGGTTTGTGGCCTTTCAAGAAGTGTGGCCTCATAGCAATTATACTGGCACCATTTTATTCGTTTGTTGCTGCACCTATATGTGGAATTATTTTTTCTCTGTACTGTATACCTACAATTTACTTATCATACAGATTATTATTTCATGCCAGAAAGAAATTTAATGGGGATGATTACGAATCGGACCCGGACAAACCCATCAGCAAGAAGAAAGAGAAAATTTTAAAGGTCCAGAAGAAATTATCTAAAATTGACAAGAGTGTTCACAGCCGCCAGGTAACTTTGGAAGAAAATAACAATCACGCCATGACGTGGGGGTACGGGAAGTTGAATGCTGTCCGGCGATTCCTTGTTCAGTGGATCGTGGGGCTGTTCTGTCTGGCTGTCCTGTACGCCATCATCCTGATCATCGTGGAGGCGGTGGGTTTGATTGTAGAGGTCATGGCCTTCACCATGATGGGGATCATCATCAACGCCGGAAGTACGCTCCGATACGTCTCCATGGCGCTTCTCGTGATTGTGTACATGCACGACTGCTACAGCAACGTGTACGAGAGTTATCTGACGTTTGATAAGAGTGTTGTGGAAGATATAATGGATCGCGTGGAAGATCTCAAAACCGTAGCCAGTCTTCCCTCTAATATGCAAGAAAATGTTGCGTTTCAGGTAAAACCCGTCGAAGCAGTGGATGAAATTCCAACTACTTTGACATTTGAGAAGAAAGACCCTTCATGGAAGATTGGTCACCTCTTGTTATTCTTGGATTCTTTCGATACTCCCAGAATTCCATTAAGACTCTTCCAGAAGGTTTGTGAAATCCGAGTGCATGGTGCTCCGGGTCCGGTGTATATAAATCTTCTACGCGCCACCGGCAAATTTCTCATCATCGTCATCTTTCTTTTCTTTGTAATGATTGTCGTGATGGCGTTTGGAAATGTCCATCAAGTTTCCTCTACCAATCAGACACTAGCAACTCTGGCGGGAGGCTTTGTGCCGATGCTTTTAAAAAATGTGCTTCCAAGGAAGTCGGTTAAACTAAATTTGAAGACTTTGAGTTTCAAAGGGCAAATTGATGAAATAATATGCGACTTTAAACAAAACTGGCCAATTTATGACTTTGTTTTCAGGCGGGAGGACGAAGATGAACCTGAATCGCCTGAAGACGTAGACGAAGCGAGCAAGGAAAGGAAACAGAGTTTGGGAAATGTACTGGACGACGTGGAGGGACAGAACGCAGATGACAAGGGGAAAGAGAAAACCGTCAACGATAAGTTAGAAAAGTACATGAAGGAAGGTATTGAGAAAAAGTTATACACCGAAAAACGCCAGAAAGAGCAAAATGGAACTTTAAAAGACGCTAGTGAAAGTACGGGAGGAAAGAACACTCTCGGTGTGGATATGTTTTCCAGCCGACTGTCGTTAGTGGATGAAAACTTTGTGGACATTTTTATAGATCTGAGCGTAGCTGATACATCCATTCCTTGGCAGATCTACGGCTCGGCGGAAAGTCTGCAGTCAGCTTCCATGTTACCACCGGAGTATGAGATGGAACTCCAAGCTCCCCCCTCTTATCCCGATGTCAAAGTCACCATTCCCGAAATTAAAGTAGATGCTTACTCATAGGACCAAATACTTCACAAAAATGGAATTTCCAAAAGTCATTAAATTATTTTAATTTTCTTACCGAAATATTTGCGGTTTATTATGCAATACATCATGTATTTTAGTACCACCATGAGTTGACACTGTATGAGTATTTAAATTCCCCAAAATAAAGGTTGATGGATTCGGAAAAATCATCTAATAGATGATAGAAATGTTTTAAAATATTTCTAAATCTGTGTAGGTTAAATCCAATGTCTTAATCATTGATGTGAATCGTATGTTGAACTTGCTTTTCATTCATGCTGTATAAATCCGGGTTCAAAAAATGGAATTATCATAACCATATTGCCCAATTTCGCTTGAACTTGTCAGATATAAAAAACGTGTTTTTTTAATGCAGGATCGTTTTTAGGATTGGGGGGGGGTCTTAGAGGAATATCTCTCCTCCCAGTCCGAGTTTTTGTCTTGGTGCCAATTTTGTATATATTGGTACATTCTTTATTTTTTAATACAGCTGAACAAAATAAAGTACTATTTCTTAAAAATATGTCTTGTGAATTTTTTGTGCTTCAAATTTACTTCTCCCCTGTTCTAATGGTCTTGAATAGTAAGTGATAAATGAAATACATGTACATATACAGAATTCTTATACCTTTACCATGTACTTGTACATCTGTTAGTATATGTATTTTACAAAAATATAAATTTCTTTAAAATTGTAACCATGCTCCGGAATTAAATGTAAAATAAATGAATGAATCCAGTTTTATTTAGTGTATACCTTTAATGAAAACAAATAAACCATCATATACATGTACTACAGATGAATACAGAACTTGCATGGTAGGCAAAAACAATTCACAATACAAAATGATTTTGTAAATGTATTCAAACAAGTCACCAAAATTGATGAAGATGCAGCAATTAAAAATGTATGTACATTATTTGGAATGATATCTTTCAATAAAAAAACGTGTTTACAGATAAGAAAGATTTGTAAACAAGAGGCCCATGGGCCACATAGCTCACCTGAGTAACGGGTGAAGCAGATCTTTAGCAAATTTCCCCTCTTGCTATACCTATTGTGCCCCCCTCCCCTTTCATGATTTTAATACTTTAGAATTACACTACACAATGATGCTTCCACATAACGTTCAGCTTTCCTGGCCCAGTGGTTCTTGAGAAGAAAATTTTTAAACATTCGTTCTATACATTTCTATGTAAAAATTTGATTCCCTATTGTGGCCCCGCCCTATCCCCGGGGGTCATGATTTTAACAATTAATATTACACTGATGCTTCCACATAAGTTTCAAAAAGAAGAAGATTTTTAAAGATTTGTTCTATACATTTCTAAGAAAAACTTGGATTTCCTATTGCGGCCCCGCCCTATCCCCGGGGGTCAGGATTTTATCAACTTAATATCTACACTACCCAAGGATGCTTCCACATAAGTTTCAGCTTTCCTGACCCAGTGGATCTTAAGAAGATTTGTTCTATATATTTCTATGTAAAACTTGGATTCCATATTGTAACCCCGCCTTACCCCCGGGGGTCATGATTTTTAAAAAATTACACAAAATGCTTCCACAAATTAGCTTTCCTGGCCCAGTGGTTCTTGAGAAGAAGATTTTTAAAGATTTGTTCTATATATTTCTATGTAAAAACATACCCCCGGGGGTCATGAGTTTAACAATTTAATATCTACACTACCCAAGGACGCTTTCATATATGTTTCAGCTTTCCTGGCCCAGTGGTTCTTGAGAAGAAGATTTTTTAATGACCCCACCCTATTTTTGTATTTTCTTGATTATCTCCCCTTGGAAGGGGACTTGACCCCTCATTTTAACAATTTAAACTCCCCTTTATCCAAGGATGCTTTGTACTAAGTTTGGTTAAATTTGGTCCATTGGTTCTTGCAATAAGAAAATGTAAAAGTAAAATAAATGTATCATAACTAAAGGTAAAAAAAATCTAGTGTATATTTACGTTTTGTGGAGTTTGTATATTGTGTGTGGAATTCTCTAAATGTTACTTCAAACAAAAGATGCACATTCTAGTGTTATACCATTAACAGTAAACTGTGTGTCAGAAATAAAAAGTTAAAAAAAAGGAAAACCAAATAATTAACGGTTTACTAGATTGATCAATTTAGTGAACTTTTGTATACAGCACACATACACAGAATTTATACAAGCTTGGATAAAAAGGTATTAAAAAATTCAAAATGAAATTAGCTTGCTAGGATCTGTAAGTGTAAGTAATGCAAAACATGCATGGTTATAAATATATTGAATACAAATTTAACTTTACAGTCCACAACATCTGTTTTTCATTCTTCTTTCATACTTTCTACACAACAGTTGCTTGACTTTACATCTGCAATAAAAGCAGAAAATACATGTATCATAACTAAAGGTACTGTTCGGGTTCAAAAAATGACCCCCCCCCCCCATTTTAGAGCATTCCCATGGGAATGCCTGAGAACATCTATCTGTATGATTTAAAATTAAGGACACAATGGCACTATGTAATAAAGATTCTAGTGAAGTCTTGTTAATTTTAGTTGGTGATATAGAAAGATTTGCAGATAAAAGATGGGTACAGAATTAAATCCCAATTATTGTCCGATAGAAACATAATGTAGAGAAATTTGGTGATTCATCAAATTGCATTTACTGGTGTAAGAGGAGTTGTGTATTAGAGATCACTACCTCGAAGTATAATAATGGATGTACAGACACTCCTTCACTTAAAGCTGTAGGTAATAAAAAATATCTGTTTAGGAATGACCAATCTTACCGTTGGTCCACCCGGTGGTTTCCCTCCAAACTTGGCGGCCATTTTGTTGATGAGAGACTGGACTTTGGGGTTGTTCTGGTACTTCATCATGTTCTGTGGATTCTGACTGATATCCTGGAAAGCGGCTGCTACCTCAGGGTCCTACAGAAAAAATGGAGCTTCGTTACAGCAAAGGGAGAATTTAACATTGCAAACAACAGGGCTTCATTACAGCAAAGGGAGAATTTAACCACGCAAACAACGGAGCTTTTTACAGCAAAGGGAGAATTTAACAATGCAAACAACAGAGCTTTGTTACAGCAGAGAGATTTAGCAATGCTCATTAGAGCAAATATTTTAAATATACATCTGTAAGTTTTAGGCTGCATCGCAATTACATGTAAAAATACTGTAAATGTACTGTATTACATTTGGTTTTGTATTCTTTTAAGCACCTTTAGCAGAAACCATCTTCCACTATTTCAACTACAACACTAAATGTCTTACACACATAAACAAAGAAAAGGACATTAAGTAATGCGCTTAATGAAATCTACGCTAACTTGTTCAAAAATCAATTTCCGCCCAATATCGTACATGCTAAATATATTACATTTACAGTAATAAAAATTATATCCACTTACAGAGAAAGCCTGAACAATTTCTGGGTCATTCATAATATTGGATAAGTCTGGCATTCCTGTAGATAAAAATCAAGAAAATATATAAACTTCGCAACTTTAGTGAAGACATTTTAAACACATATTGACACATGCTTCAAAATGCTGAAATTGTTGTTTCTATGTTTCCAAAATGATGTTTTTGCCTAGATTGATTAAAATTGACCCAGAAGTTCTGGAAAAGTATGTGAAATATAAAATATTTAAAAAACAAACAACAGAGAACAAAACAATTTCATTCATTTGAGCCTTACTCTCATGAGAGCTAATAAAAGAGTTGTTTTTTGGTGTTATAGTTACGAGGCATGCCTCTCGATAAATAAACTGAATTTTGAATTGGCCATTGATCTTTCTGACAAGTTTTAAAGGAGGTCTTTATTTCCACAGACATGGAATCTACTTTGAATTAAAACATTTCCTTGCATTTCTGAAATCTTTGCTCTTGCAATGAACTGATCTTTTTACAAATGTGTAACACAATTACCTCCCATACCACCTGGCATACCGCCCATACCACCTGGCATACCACCCATACCACCTGGCATACCGCCCATTCCTCCTGGCATACCGCCCATTCCTCCTGGCATACCACCAGGAAATCCACCTGGCATACCACCCGTACCACCTGGCATACCGCCTGGAAAACCACCTGGGAATCCCCCAAATCCTCCTGCTCCACCAGTACTGGCACTCTATCAGATATTAGAACAGGAATTAATATCATACAGTTATAGAGTTAGACAAAACAAATATGCAGGTAAAGTCTTCTGAAAACAAGTTTATCAAAGTCTAAGGAACATATAACTTTCATAAATATGGGTTACAAAATTCGACCTCAATCAGCAAGTCATAATGAGACACACATGTCGATTACAAATCACTTATTACCTTCAATCATAACAAGTCCAGAAAAAACATGTTTGTTAAATGTGGCATACCACCTTAACAACTATAACATTGCTTTGGCTTCTATATACCTAAAACTTCTTTTTTTGCATTATCCTGTCAATTTAAATGACATAAAATTCCCTTATATTTAAAGCAATTTTTGCGTTTTGCTGTTGAACAACTTACAGCCTTGGCTCTTTCATACTCTTCTTTTGCTTTCCTCATCCTTTCCTTTCTAGCTTTGATTTCTTTTTCCTCTCTTTTCCTCTCGTATTTCCTGTTGTGCTCCATGATTTTCTTTGCCTATACGAACATGCATTAACATTGTTTCTTTTGAGAAATCTTGAATGGAATCACAAGCATAAAATAGAAATTCTATACATATAAAGTGGAAATCAAAACAACATATCCACAATATCTTTACCATTTCTGCAGTACTTACGTTTGGTGTGACCTCGTGCAGCCACTCATTGGCTAAATCATCAAAGTCCAGCTTGGTTGCCATGGTGAGGTCATGATAGGCTTCCTCCCATTTCCCCAGTAGCCTGTCAGTAAACATGATCAAGATTTTATTTTAGATCAACACTCTGAGCAATGATCATCATATATTTCCATTTCTAATTTTTTTTTCTCTGTGTTAACTATTTGAAAGTTAGCGGAGTTGATTTCTTGATCATTCTACCAGAAAGTAAATTAGGCAGGTCGATGGGTCATAAGCTAAGGAGGCCTAATATGCATGCAAATCTCGTGCGCATCTGTCTCTGTGTCTGACGCAAAGGAGACAAAATATGCATGTGAATCTTGTGCGGCTGCCCCTGTGTTTGACGTCAGTGGGCGAGGACTATTGAAATAGCCATGGGAGTCTACATTTTTAAAATCTAAATCTACAATTTTATTGCAAAATGAAATGGAAATATAAGGAATCACTGTCTAGTTAGTATAGTATGCCAGGGACATCAACGCTAGTGCCCTGGCATACTATACTAACTAGACAGTGATACCTTATATCTCTCTACGAATATGAAACTCTACATCTATCCACTTAACATATGGATTTTAATTGTTTTGAAGGGTAAAGTGATGGACATAATAACAATGGAAAATTTACTTTTGTTACTGATATTAAAGACTTTTTAAACTGAAGCTGTTCTAATAACTTACTGATAGGCTCGCCCCCTCCATTTGTATGGTTGAGCAGAGTCCGGGTTCAACTGAATAGCTTTCGTACAATCATGTATCGCTTTGTTTGGTTTCTTCTGTTTTACAAAAATACTGAAAAATAGTAATAAATACATAAATCAATATACCTTTACAAACTGAAGTAGGCTTTACATGTACTAACATTCCAACATAAAGTATCCATCAATATTGTTTTACCTTGCTCTTTTAGCATACAGCAGAGCAGACTGGGGATTAATTTTGATTGCCTCTGTGAACAACTTTAATGCTTCATCAAAATTCCCTAAATTAAAAAAAAGTAAAGTAGATTTCAGTTTATTATTTCTATAGCAGCATTGACGCAATGTCCATCTACAAAAATATGGTAACAGAGAAAATTATCTTGGTGAAAATATACAAGAATTAGATAAAAACCTTCACTGAAAGCGGCCATTGCCTGTCCTCGCATTTCATTGGCTGAGTCCATCTCCTCCTCGGTAACTTCTTTAGAGTCGTCTCCGTCCTCCGGTAACTCTGTATCCTTGTCTTCTATCACTCCTGTATTATCCAGCTCTGTAATCAAAAACACAGAAATTCCAAATTACTCCTCCTCTCCTTATTCTCAAATTCTTTTCTGATTTTTATCCCTTACATGTATTTAATCTCCCACCACTCCCTCTCTCTGGCTTTGTTGGATAAATCTAATTCCTTGTTTCTCCTACTCTTAGGTTACTCCCTATTCTTGTTCTTTGGCTACTGATATATCTGATATTAATCCTTTCACTAATTTCTGGCTGTGAAAAAAACCCTGATCTCCTGTCTCAAACCTTTTTTTCTCAGTTTCTGCTTATGTTCAAATTTATGTCTTTCACATAAAAAACTATCCTCACTCTCCAAATTTGATACAACAATCTCTGGTTTTGATAGAATCTTAATCCATAATGAAAACCACTCCCTTTACAATTTGTTGACCAAGTCTGTTGTGATTTTTAGTTTTTACCTAAATCCCTTTCCTGGTTTCTGGTAGGATTTATGTCCCTTACCATAATCTCTGTTTCTGATAGAACCTCAGTCCCTTACCTAAATCTCTGGTTCTGATAGGAGTTACATCCCTTACCTAAGTCACTCTCTAGTTCTGATAGGAGTTATGTCCCTTACCTAAGTCACTCTCTTCACTCTCTGGTTCTGACAGGAGTTATGTCCCTTACCTAAATCACTCTCTTCACTCTCTGGTTCTGACAGGAGTTATGTCCCTTACTAAATCACTCTCTTCACTCTCTGGTTCTGATATGAGTTATGTCCCTTACTAAATCACTCTCACTACTCTCTGGTTCTGACAGGAGTTATGTCCCTTACCTAAGTCACTCTCTTGACTCTCTGGTTCTGATAGGAGTTACGTCCCTTACCTAGATCACTCTCATCATTCTCTGCTTCTGACAGGAGTTATGTGCCTTACCTAAATCACTCTCTTCACTCTCTGGTTCTGACAGGAGTTATGTCCCTTACCTAAATCACTCTCTTCACTCTCTGGTTCTGACAGGAGTTATGTCCCTTACCTAAATCACTCTCATTACTCTCTGGTTCTGATAGGAGTTATGTCCCTTACTAAATCACTCTCACTACTCACTTCACTCTCTTCACTCTCTGGTTCTGACAGGAGTTATGTCCCTTACTAAATCACTCTCATTACTCTCTGGTTCTGATATGAGTTATGTCCCTTACTAAATCACTCTCACTACTCTCTGGTTCTGACAGGAGTTATGTCCCTTACCTAAATCACTCTCTTCACTCTCTGGTTCTGACAGGAGATATGTCCCTTACTAAATCACTCTCATTACTCTCTGGTTCTGATATGAGTTATGTCCCTTACTAAATCACTCTCACTACTCTCTGGTTCTGACAGGAGTTATGTCCCTTACCTAAATCACTCTCCCAACTCTCTGGTTCTGACAGGAGATATGTCCCTTACTAAATCACTCTCATTATTCCTTGGTTCTGATATGAGTTATGTCCCTTACTAAATCACACTCATATCTCTCTGGTTCTGATAGGAGTAATGTCCCTTACCTTACTCTCTAGTTCTGACAGGAGTTATGTCCCTCATTAAATCACTCTTATTCCTCTCTGGTTTACATCCCTTACCTAAGTCACTCTCTAGTTCTGATAGGAGTTATGTCCCTTACCTAAGTCACTCTCTTCATTCTCTGCTTCTGACAGGAGTTATGTCCCTTACCTAGATCACTCTCTTCATTCTCTGCTTCTGACAGGAGTTATGTCCCTTACCTAAATCACTCTTATTCACTCTCTGGTTCTGATAGGAGTTACGTCCCTTACCTAGATCACTCTCTTCACTCTCTGGTTCTGGTTCAGGCGCTGGTGCTGGCTCTGGCTTTGTTTCTTGTTTCTCTTCTTCCTTAGGTTGCTAAAATCATTAGAAAATGGATTACAAATGCCACATTAATGAGCAACATTAAGAGCATGTATTGCATATTTGTATTACAACAGACATGATCATTGTACCTTGGGAGTTTCTTCGGGTTCTGTCGGGGGAGGGACAGTGGCACCCATACTGGAATAAAATGTGAATAAAATGACTGGAAAATCTTATTAAAGGTTAGGAATGTGAATCTGCGAGCTTATTGTCTAATTTCAACACACCCTTCCAGCCAATCTTTGAAGAACTTGAGTTCCTTTTGGTGTAAGATGTCTGGGTCCCCCTTACAGAGTTTTACAAACTCCTGAAGAAGTCCAATCTGCTGTAACATTCGTTCAGCACTCATGGCTACAGCTCAATCTGAAAGGGGATACATGGAAAAAGATCAAAATTGACAAAAAAACAAAGATGAATAGAATTTTAAAGACTTTAGAAAGGTTCTCATCAATTATATATATGATGCAGAAAAGTGACATACTGCCAATCCCCGGTAAGTGAGAAAATGTTTACAAAATAACATTAAAAAATATATGTACAATTCTTCTGTATTTTGCATTTTGATAGGCTAATCGACTGACGTTTGAAGCAGTTAAACCAGCTTAATTAAAAATGAGAAAGGGAAAACACAACTCTTAATGACACATTTCATATGATACAGCACAACAAAATCAACAAAAACATCAAACAATGAGCATAAATTGCATCAGAATGGTAATTATCATCTTCTCTTTTATTTTTTGCAACCGTTAACTTTACCCTGATTTCACAGTCACGAATATCTGTTTTACTGGCTTCACTCAGCAAACATTTAATCAGCATCAACAGTTGCAAATAACCATTGAAAAGAGTTATTCCTTAATTTAGGATATTAATTATGGACTGTGCTCTGAAGATTTCCTCATGCAAATTAAGGTTAAAAGGGGGTCTTGAATAAGCATGATCAGGCGCGTAGCTGCCTATACGCAAGTACGCAAGTGCGTACACATCATTTTCCAAAAAAAAAAGAAGAAAGAAAGAGAAATGAAAAAAAGAAGGAGAGGGGAAAAAGAGGCACTATCTGTGTTTCAAATTATTTTGCGTCTTATTGTTTCGATTCAAATTTTGTTCAGCATGTCTGTACAGTCAAATTCAATGTCTTTTATAAAATCAATTGCAAAAACATCTTTAAACATTCTTGGGGAAGAAAATATTGTTGAACCAAAATGCTCAACTGTTAATCCGCGTAATCCTGATTATCCGGGAAAATATTTGATGAAGAGACATTGATCAAAAGAAAAAGTTACAAGGGTCTAGGGCGACTATACAAGATTTTCAATTTCCGTTGAGGTAATGAATAAATGTCGTTAAACGAAAAATGGTAAAGTTTAAATTATGGTGAACAAAGTAAATAAATTAATAATAATATAGCTTCTTTTAATGATGTTACCAATTTATAGAATTATGTTATTCAAACATTCTCAAATTGTTTCAGCTATCAAATATAAAGGTAATCAAAAGACACCCCCGCCCAAGTTTATATTTTGAAATATAATTTAAACTCCAATGATAGCAATATTAAATTTACTACTCTGTTTTATCTTGTTACACTTGAAAACTTTTTTTCCAATGCCAATATATCCGTAAATTAATTTGATAAAATTATCGTTCTCTTCCTGAAGTATCCATAGAAGCATTATTACTTAGCTAAGTGTTTGCTCGAGAAAAGTGATATTATCGTGTTTTCTTTTACGGGAAAATGACTGACAAATTTCGTAAAATCCAGGAGCTTCCGGGGGCTTCGCCCCCTGGGCCCCCACCAGGGCTTCGCTCTGGACCCACTGGGGGCCTCAGGGCGAAGCCCTGACCCCCGACCGTTTTCTGCGTACACTTCATTTCCATGCTGGCTACGCGCCTGATGATCAAAACTAACACAACATGTATAATATATTATCAATTATTTAAATTATAACCTTAAATGGAACCATAAAACATGAGTATGATAACTAAAGGGTATTTTAAAAAATTGAATGTCAAGCTTTTTTACGCAATTAAAAAAGCAGTACCGTTTACTTTCACAAAACAAGACAAGTACATAGACCTGGTGGAAAATGAAAGTAAAACTTATCTTCCACGTGCCTACCGCTCCAAAATACGATATATGCCAATTGAATAGAAGACAAAAAATAATGCATATATTTCTAAAGCTACAGATAAAGACTTACCTTAAAAACACCAATACAAAAAACAAAGTTAGGCACGCGTTCAGCGTTGCAGAAATTTCCAGATTTTTTTAATGGAAACCAAAAGAGACAGAAAAATATGCCTATTAATATGTTTAGATGGCACATATAATTTGTTATAATTTTTGTGGATTTTTAACAAATTCATAACGTAATGCACGATTCCATTAGTTTCCATGATTGAAGTACTAAGATTAAAAAAGCTTTGTTATTTTTTTTCAATAAAAAAATATTGCTTTTCGTCCTAACGTTTCACCATACTTTCTCAATAAAACGGTGCCTTAATTTTCGCTTCCTAAAGGATTCACTCTCTTTCGCTGCGGTGGAAATTCATTATTGAATCCCTCATATATAAATATGCATATTTTGAAAGTTTGAAACAAATTTGTATGATTAAAGCTGGTTATCTGAAATATTTTTTACATGAAATGTGTTAATTTTTTTGGTTTGAAATAAAAGATCCCCCTAGTGTAGAATTCACTAGCAACCGTTTTCAAAAACCTTGACATGTGATGTGAAAGTAGCATGGTAAGTAATTAAAATATCCTATAAAGCTGAATTGTGAATTAAAAAGTAAACCTGAGTTTGAATTTCAGTGTCCATCAAAGACCGACTGAACTATTTTGCACGATACTGTTATTATTAAATTGATTTGGAGGAAATTCGGATGTGTAACTTTAGAGATCTAACGTTAGGCTATAAAAATACAGATTTAACAGAGTTGCAGGTTCACTCAGTCAAATAGTGCATTTTATGTGGTAGTTTTATAACCATGGTATGACCCCTATTTATTCATTGATAATAAGATTTTAGGCTAATTGTATTCGGCGCGTCGGCGCGCTAGCGCGTCCATCTCATCCCAATATCACAAAAGTATTTTCTCCCTGCATTAAAACACTCAAATGACAGCGATTTTCTTTACAATTTAAGACTTATATTCAAATTGACAGCCCGACTCCGATTGTATTTCTTTGTTAGGTGGATCCAGAAAAATTTACCTAGGAGGTGGTGGCTCAAATCGCAAGGGGAAGAGGTCTGGGGCATAGCTTAAGTAACTGTATTATGTCAGTGTAAATAAATTTGAATTTTCCAGGGATCCGAATCCCCTTTGATTCATGCATGCCTTACCACAATTTGTGCAAGAGTAATCCAAAATTTCTCTCTCTCTCTCTCTCTTGTATATATATATTATAGGGATGTGCGATTTTATTGGTGTACTGGTATATCGCGATTTTTTGTTGCTTGATACGTATCATGATACGGAGACCTAAATACCGGGGGGGGGGGGGGAGGCTTACACAGATAGTAAAAATTTATATAGCACATCGGCCTGGGAACTGGGGGGGGGGCTTACACAGATAGACATCGTATTAAACATTGGGCGTAGGTTTAGCCCCCATGTACTTTCAACAGACACGTTGCAGTGCAGTCGATGAAGGGTACAATGTAAGTGGTAGTGTTTGAAAGAACAAAAATTGATAATGAAAGAAGTTCGATCCCCCCCCCTACGAAATAGGATTTTTGTGTTTGGACTATATAGATACATTTTTTCTTTTTCTTTTTTTTTTTTTCACCCCCACCCTTTCAATTTGCTTCCAACGCCAATGTAAAAATTACAGTTTACCAGTATATATTACGTTGTGACCCTAGAGTTTAAACTCCTTTTTAAAGACTTGATTTTCACGGCTATAAGCTGCCATACATTGGTATCAGTGTTTTAATAAAAAATATTCCTTGTTACGTTTTAAAATAATAATACATGTACTACTAAGAATTAACTTGTCTTTATTAAAGGTCTGCGGATGGGGAGAAACTTTAGTTACAGATATGACTTTGCTATTAATAGCCCTGTTAAACAAACTTTTAGTCAGAAAAATACCTTATTAATTTATTGAAAAAAAAATGAACCTTTTTGGCATATCATTCTAAGGTTATGGTGAGATCAAAACAAAACTTACCTTTTTGACTCTGTATAATTGTGTCATTTTCTTTTTTATTTAATTCTAACAAACTTCTTTATGGAGCATAAATGAACATAACTTGAAAAAGTTGTGAAGAAAGTGTGAAACATTAAATTTTATTGAAACCATTAAAATCAACACCTATCAGTACTTTCAGTACTTTGATTAGTAGAGGATATTGAGCCCGATGCTGTATAAGCGATAAATTTTATGAACAAAATTTTTTGTGCAAGTGCGCCGACGCGCCGAATACAATTAGCCAGTTTTTAAACGTTTACAACACAAATCTATGGCAAAATGAAAGTAGAAAAATTCCAAAGGACTAGAGTAGGCAAGACCAGTTTTAAAAACAATAGCCTAGCAATAAGCATTTTACAAATGCAATGATGAAAGATTGTATTTACAAACAATTTTAACGGAGAATTTTTTATAATTTAATAAATGCTAATTAACTTTTGAATGAGCTTGATAAAATCTTGGTAACATCAGCTTATCTGTCAGTAGCCTGTCCAAGTTTTAAAAGAGGATATTTACTCAAAGAGTATATTCTCATATATTGAATAAGTTTGGATAGGTATGTGGCGGTCAGCCGGGTTCCATCACCGGTGGCCAGATAGCTCAGTTGGTAGAGCACCTGACCGGAGTTTCAGGGGGCCCGGGTTCGAATCCCAGTCTGGTCCGCTACATTTTCTCCTCTCCCATTACATTTGGTGCCGTGTCATGCCCTGGAATTGACAGGTGTGAGACCTGCCAGGGATGAGCCTGGGTTGGGGTTTTTGGAGGGCCAAAGACCTTTAAGGAGGGAGGAATGTGGCGGTCAGCCAAGTTCGATCGCCAGTGGCCAGATAGCTCAGTTGGTAGAGCACCTGACCGGAGTTTCAGGGGGCCTGGGTTCGAATTCCGGTCTGGTCCGCTGCATTTTCTCCCCTCCCGTTACATTTGGTGCCATGCCATGCCATGGAATTCACAGGTGAAAGACCTGCCAGGGATGAGCCTGGGTTGGGGTCTTTGGAGGGCCAAAGACCTTTAAGGAGGGAGGAATGTGGCGGTCAGCCGAGTTCGATCGCCGGTGGCCAGATAGCTCAGTTGGTAGAGCACCTGACCGGAGTTTCAGGGGGCCGGGTTTGAATCCCGGTCTGGTCCGCTGCATTTTCTCCTCTCCCATTACAGGTATAAATATGAATGCAGGTGATCAGGAATCTGATATTTTAGTTACAGAAATTCCCCTGATTAATCAAATTTATTATATGATTGAATAATTTCCAACTCTCTGATTGGCTGAGATCCAACTATGTTAGAAAAATACTATGTTGTATTGACCTGCACGTGACGTTCCAGGTCAATACAAGGATTTATTACCTCCACATTGATCTAAAAATAGATTTGGAAATTCCAAATTGATGCAAATTGTTTTGGAAAGCTATTTATATGACTATGATTTTTTTTTATGTCAGCAAAACATAAGCAAATATATATTTAAGGGTGAGGGTGGTAACAGGGGATGCAGCCCCCCAACACTTTTACTGAACAACAATTTTTTGGCATTCAGTTTTCCCAGTTATACTCCTTCCTTTCAAAATTTATCCTATATAAAGGACTGATTTTATATATTTTTTCATGGCAACTAAAATTGATAAAAGACATGCATTTCAAATTGATAGGACTGGTAAGGTTTATTCACATTTTAATTCTGCTTGCTTCTCTCTTGTATTTGGCTAGGACTTAATTAAATGCAAACAAGTAGTGAGCTGTATCATTTTATTAGTGAATCATATAATAAAACAATTATTGCTGTTTTTTTCGGTCAATACAATGATTTAGCTATCTTCGAAGTACAATATTCACCTCGCCCTTAGGGCTCGGTGAATATTATACTCCTCAGATGGCTAAATCATTGTATTGACCTCAAAAACAGCAATAATTGTATAATATAACATTCAAAATATATTTATTCATAATTATTCTGGAAATGCCCCCCAGATTTTATGTAGTTAACTAAAATAAATTGTCAAATCTATTATTAGATATCTCTATAGTTACTAATAAAACTGAATTGTATATGAATTAAGACCCATCTGTGTTTTACCATGTTTACTGTACATTGTAATATTTTTGTGTATCTTTCATAATTTATTAATTAAGCTCATCAGGTATGAGTGTGAACTACAGTAAATAACCGTAGTTTATATTTGTTTATTTAATCTTGCAGAACACCACTGTCATGGAAGTAATATAGTGTAGAGGAATGATTGAAGTTGGTTCCCACTGACAAGAAGTTGCTGCAATATTTATATACAGAATGGGCTCACTAAGTAAGACTTTTAAAGGCTTAATACAACAAACAAAAAAGGTAGATTTAATTCATTAAGTTAAATAAAAATTGAAATCTTTGTCCAAGCCATGAGTTTTATAAGGTCTGTACCCAGTTACCGTGGAGCTATGCAGATGAGAGCCATTATTGATTGAGTCCCTTAGATGGGGCCCAGTCCTTCACAGGTTTACCCCCAGGGTAAGCAGGTACCCAGTGCAGCTGGAAGGACTGAGACAAAGCAGATTAAATGCCTTGTCTAAGGACAAAACACAACATCAGTTGCCTACAGCAGGACTTAAACAAAAGAACCTTTGAGTCACTTGCTAAACTCTTAAGACAGCTGGGCCTTGTTCTCTAGTTTTAATACAGTTTATATGTAAATGAAATTCCCTCTCTTAGTCTATTTAAAATGAACACACATTAGCTATGTTGATATTTATCCTGTTCACATTAAACTTTTTTGTAATAACTCGTAAGTTTTCTGATGGATTGTTTACCTGTATCCTTTCATTATTTTGTGACAGCTAGAGCAGTTTTATTTTTCTTTTTGTGCAGGGAGATGTCATTTGATTTCCAATTTTCTAACTCAACAAAGACGATCAATGAGCGGTTTCTTGTCGGCAAAACTTCAGGAAGTTCCCGAGAAGTCACTAGGCATCACAGTGGAGGAATACAGAAGGAGGCGTCGTAACCTGATACAGCTGTGTGTGGACACTGAACACATGAAGAGTAGCCGTAGTCACCTCGTCTGTGTGCCTGCTGCTCCGCGCGCGTTCTACAGTGACAGGATCATGTATCCTTTCAGACAGAATACAGAATTCAACTATCTCTGTGGGTACCAGGAGGCCAACTGTGTGTTATTTATGTTCACTGAGCAGGGAAAAGGGGCGGAGAACTTTAAGTCTATCCTGTTTGTTCCTCAGCGTTTCCAGTTTGATGAGATCTGGGATGGAAAGTTTGAAGGTTTTGACTCTATCGTAGAGTCAACAGGAGTTAACGAAGCTAGGTTCACTAAAGACATTGCCAGCTTCTTATCCCAGTATGTGAAAGATAACAGTAAATTTACTCTGTGGTACAATTATCAAAAAACTGCCAACCCCGACATCCATAGATCTGTCATGGCGGATTTCATGCGACAGGGGAAGTATAAAAAGCTAGAAAATTACGACTACTATGTCCAGTCACTCCGAGTTGTCAAATCAGCGGCGGAAATCGCACTCATGAAAAAGAGCATGGAAATTACAGAAGAAGCATTTAAATCTGTACATCACATGATTGATGAATGGAAATCAGCCAGTCGGGTAAGTTGAATTGTGATGTATCTGTTTTGTTTGTTTTGTATTATTGATCGTTTTGTTGTTTTCCTTTATTTTGGTATAAACATGATAAATGTAACACATGCTGTTCATGTAGATTTAACCTTGTAATGTGGAGTAGAATATAAGAACTACCGTATAAGTGGAAATTTTAGCGAGACGCACATTTGGCCATTCCTACCTAAAATCTGGTATTTAATTTTTAGCGAGAAGTAATTTTAGTGATTTTAAAATGCTAACTGAAGAAGCTATTACAAATTATATGCAATTAATTTTTAGCGATATTCAATTTTAGCGATGTCAGCACTCTCGCTAATAATGCCAAAATTAAATCCTCGCCAAAAATTCTACTTATATGGTATTAATTGTGTAGTTTAGAAGTCATCATTGCTCATTTCATTTAAATATAATGGGTTCTGAATTTCATTTCTTTTTAGCTCACCTGAGCCGAAGGCTCAAGTGAGCTTTTCTGATCACATTGATAATTGTCGTGTCCGTTTAAAAAGTTAAACTTTTCACATTTTCATTTAAAGAACCACTGGGCCAATTTCTGACCAAACTTGGTACAAAGCATCCTTGGGTGAAACAAAATCTGAATTTAAATTGTTAAAATTCAGGGACATATCCCCTCGCAAGGGGAGATAATCAAGAAAAGACAAAAATAGGGTGGGGTCATTAAAAAATCTTCTTCCCAAGAACCACTGGGTATACAGAAAATGAAACTTATGTTAAGCATCCTGGGGTAGTGTGATTTTAAATTGTTCAAATATATAATATCCGGGGATTGGGCGGGGCCACAATGGGGAATCAAAATTTTACATAAAAATAAATAGGAAAAATCTTTAAAAATCTTCTTCTCAAGAACCACTAAGCCAGAAAAGCTGAAACTTATGTGGAAGCATTCTGGGGTAGTGTAGATTCTAAATTGTTCAAATCATGACCCCCGAGGATTGGGAGGGGCCTCAATGGGGAATCAAAGTTTTACATAGAAATATATAGGAAACATCTTTGAAAATCTTCTTTCAAGAACCACTGGGCCAGAAAAGCTGAAACTTATGTGGAAGCATCCTGGGGTAGTGTAGATTCAAATTGTTGACATCACCCCGAGTTCTAAATTGGGCGGGGCCAGGTAAATGGGGAATCAAAGTTTTACATAGAAATATATAGGAAACATCTTTGAAAATCTTCTTCTCAAGAACCACTGGGCCAGAAAAGCTGAAACTTATGTGGAACATCCTGGGGTAGTGTAGATTTAACATTGTTCAAATCATAACCCCCGGGGATTGGGCGGGGCCACAATGGGGAATCAAAGTTTTACGTAGAAATATATAGGAAAAATCTTTGAAAATCTTCTTAATAACAACTGGGCCAGAAAAGTTGAAACTTATATGGAAGCATCCTGGGGTAGTGTAGATTTCAAATTGTCTAAATTATGATCAGTGGGGTAGGGTGGGGTCACAATATGTATTACAAGGGGTAAATCTAGTAAAGTACAGAATTGTCAAAGCTTCTCAGGTGAGCGATGTGGCCCATGGGCCTCTTGTTTTTATTTTAGAAGAAACAAAATCTGTTTGAATATGAAATTCAGGCAGTGATGGAGTACACCTGTCAGTTAAATGGAGGCCGCCTAGCTTACATCCCTGTGGTGGCAGGTATACAGATAAATAAATCCACTATAAGTTAAAATCATAGTACAGTGATTTTGTGTATTCAAATATATAATATCCAAAGTAAGTGCAGTGTATCAAAATTATACAGTGACATATAAAATTTGAAGGCTCCCACTTAGATATATATTTGATTATTGATAGATATTTATATTCAGTTTGTATTCTTGTTAAGGGGGTAACAGAGGAAACACAATTCACTATGTCCAGAACAACAATAAAGTTAAACCTGAGGAGCTACTGCTGATAGACGCTGGCTGTGAATTCAAAGGGTACACCACTGACATCACTAGAGTTCTAAACATCTCAGGTAAATGAAGACATCACTAGAGTTCTAAACATCTCAGGTAAATGAAAGCATCACTAAAGTTCTAAACATCTCAGGTAAATGAAGACATCACTAGAGTTATAAACATCTCAGGTAAATGCATGCATCACTAGAGTTCTAAACATCTCAGGTAAATGCATGCATCACTAGAGTTCTAAACATCTCAGGTAAATGAAGACATCACTAGAGTTCTAAACATCTCAGGTAAATGCATGCATCACTAGAGTCCACAACATTTCAAATACACATTGACAGATCAGTCTACGGAGAAAATCAGATTCATTACAAGAACTTCTTTGTCTTTACATTAGCAACAAAGACCTTCCTTGGCCTCAGTTACTGTAGTGGGTAGCTTTCCAAGAGAGTGACTGTAACATTCTGTTTCCTCTCTGCAGACCTAACTTTTGAACAAGAAACCATCATAGGTGTTGTACAGCTGATTCAGGATACCTGTATTAAGATGTGCACACCAGAGTATAGCATTAACGACATCTACAGGAAAATGATGAAGATTGTCGGTGAATATGTCCAAGTACTGGGACCGATGGACTTAGCAGTGAAGGGAAAACCACTTCTTGAGGTATTCTAACATTAATTTAATAAAATTATCTTTCAAATTTTGTATCAAGTTTCTGCTTGTTGTGTTGAATCAATAAATGAAAATCTGTATCAGGCTCAAAATCTAAGAAAATATCAGTACATTATTTTTTATGTCATTTTTTCGAAACAATATTAAACTGGGTCAGAACTTTTGAAGTAAACAAGAAAGCTGGTAAATATCAAGTTTTGTAATAAATAATAATGTGTTTGTTTCTTATATTGATTTAGGGAGCAAATAAATTCTGTCCGCACCAGGTCGGCCACTATTTAGGAATGGATTTACATGATACACCACTCATATCTAAAGACATGAAACTACAGCCAGGAACTATCCTGACCATAGAACCAGGTAGGTTGATACACCACTCATATCTAAGTTACAACCAGGAACTATCCTGAACAATGAACATAGAACCTGGTAGGTTGATACACCACTCATATCTAAGGACATGAAACCACAGCCAGAAACTATCCTGACTATTGAATCAGGTAGGTTGATACACCACTCATGTCTAAGTTACAGCCAGGAACTATCCTGACAATAGAACCAGGTAGGTTGATACACCACTCATATCTAAGGACATGAAACCACAGCCAGGAACTATCCTGACAATAGAACCAGGTAGGTTGATACACCACTCATATCTAAGTTACAGCCAGGAACTATCCTGACCATAGAACCAGGTAGGTTGATACACCACTCATATCTAAGGACATGAAACCACAGCCAGGAACTATCCTGACAATAGAACTAGGTAGGTTGATACACCACTCATATCTAAGTTACAGCCAGGAACTATCCTGACCATAGAAGCACTGAAGCAGGTAGGTTGATACACCACTCATATCTAAGTTACAGCCAGGAACTATCCTGACTACAGAACCAGATAGGTTGATACACCACTCATGTCTAAGTTACAGCCAGGAACTATCCTGACCATAGAACCAGGTAGGTTGATACACCACTCATATCTAAGTTACAACCAGGAACTATCCTGACCATAGAACCAGGTAGGTTGATACACCACTCATATCTAAAGACATGAAGTTACAGCCAGGAACTATCCTGACAATAGAACCAGGTAGGTTGATACACCACTCATATCTAAGTTACAGCCAGGAACTATCCTGACTATAGAAGCAGGTTGGTTGATACACCACTCATATCTAAAGACATCAGTTACAGCCAGGAACATCCTGACTATTGAACCAGGTAGGTTGATACACCGCTCATATCTAAGTTACAGCCAGGGACTATCCTGACAATAGAATCAAATAGGTTGATACACCACTCATATCTCTAAGTTACAGCCAGGAACTATCCTGACTATAGAACCAGGTAGGTTGATACACCACTCATATCTAAGGACATGAAGTTACAGCCAGGAACTATCCTGACCATAGAACCAGGTAGGTTGATACACCACTCATATCTAAGTTACAGCTAGGGACTATCCTGACCATAGAACCAGGCAGGTTGAAGAAAAACCTTATCAAGAATATCTTAACTCTGAAACCAGGTTGGTTTAGGACTCTCATTTTACTACATTGTATTAGTGATTCTAAGTTGCTAATTTTAGATCCTATCTACCTAAAAATCAAAGTTCAAATAAATAAGAGAGTTGAAATTTCAAAAAAAGGTTCCACTCAATAAAGAGGAATATGAAATTCTTGAAAAAATGTTTAGTAACCAATATGAAAATTTACCAATCAGATTTATACATTAAAGTAATCATGAAAGGTAATGGTTCTTTTTATAATATTGCAGGATTATATTTACGACCAGAGTATGTACCAGATAAGCTGTCCCAGTTTCGTGGAATAGCTGTGAGACTAGAAGAAAATATATTAGTGACAAAAGATGGACCAGTCAATTTATCTCAGAATGTGTCCCCTCGAGATCGGGCCCCACTGGCTTGTGATACAGAAAACAATGACGCTAGTAAAATCATCGAACAGTTACCACAAAATATGTTATTCCAGGGGATTATACCTTATCTTTTGAATTATGTAAAAAATTAAATACTTAAATGTAGAACAATTTGTTTGTTCCTTTAATTATACTGATTTCATTCTGTATTCCTTTAATTATACTTATTTCATTATCTCAAATGTTATACTACAAAACTATAAAATACCTTTAGATGTTCATACTTAAGGAATAACTGTCTATTTTTTTTATTTCATGTGATCAATCAATTGGCTTGTGTGATATGCATAAAATTACCTCACAAGTTAATCGATTGATCATCATCATGAAATAAAAAATCTAACGGTTATTCTTATATTTACATTCTCTTGATTCTGCAAATCCACATGCTACAGGCCCCATTTCTGTCTCTATTTGTACATTTCCTATTTGTAATTTTATCTTGGACAAAGACATTGGAAATGTAAAAAAATATATGGATATAAAAGTCAACGAGGTGAAGATGAGCTCATGCCAAACCTCCTGCATTCGGCGTGAGTGTCGGCATCACAATAAAATTTTGAGGAGCAAGTTCATCCAGAAACTTCTGTTGTACAAGGTGTCAACTTGGAACCAGATCTTCACTTCACGAATTCTTACCACTGGGCCAAGGTTGCCAATCAATTTTAATCAATCGATTGCCCTTTCTCTATTAATGAAATCTGGGGGGTTTAACTTTTCAATTTTCAAAATCTTAAAAACTTTGGCCAAGAAAAAAAATAGCTGCAAAGTATTGGTCATCTCTCAAAATGTTCACAGGAATTTGGTAACAGTGATATCGATAGTATCTGAAGACTGACTACAATCATGTTTCCTACAATTGATTTGTACATATTATGTAGTGGAACATTGATTGGGCAGCAAGCATTGTCTGTATAAGCCCTCCAAACTGCATGTGCATGTTATTCAATTGAAAAGATGAATCCACATTTGGTTTTTATTTTTTATTGGTTGTTTTCAAATGAATATATACTGTAAACTTCATCTTGATACATTTAAATCTGAGGGCATTTTATATAAACATTATTTCTTTGATAACTCTTATTTTTTGCTCTCTCTCTCTCTCTCTCTCTCTCTCTCTCTCTCTCTCTCTCTCTCTCTCTCTCTCTCTCTGTCTCTCTCTCTCTCTCTCTCACACACACACAGACACACAAACATACAGACATTACAGTTACAAATTGCAATAAACCAGCACTGTCTTTTTTCCCTACCAGTACAAACTACAGTAGGAAATGAAGAAATGTGGAGAAAATTTTTCCATTCAGTATCGCAAGTGAGGCTTTTCCTTTGCCATGTACCTGAAAAAAGTAAGACAAAACATTTATGTTGCTCTTAAGATTATCCATATTACTATCATTCATTCATTCACATGTCTTACAAATGGCATTTTCTTTTCATCTCTACTAAACAATGTTGAACTACTATAAACATTTATATCTTGAATACCATGGATACGTCAAAGTGATTTGGAAGCACTTTTAGTTAATGTACACTGTATATTAGTTCACCATCGATAATAGTCAATATTTCAAATCTCCTTTTATCATTATGATTTTTTTTAGGTTCTATTAAATTTGAGATAACTAGGTCTGAAAGTACAGGTATAAACCGTCACAATTGTACACACTGAACAGTAAGAGCTGTCTCATTCGTGTGGCCTTTTCAATATCATGATTTTTCCCCAAACCTTTTAATGCTTCTTACAAGTTTTTCTTATGAACAAAATGTTGAAATAGAACATCTTTCTCAAACTTTCTGTAAATGCACTTGAGCATATGTTTTTATATCTCTATCACTTTGTCACAATAAACTTGTCTCACATTCTGTGGTAATGAAATTACAATTACTTGTTTAAAACCTTCAAATCTAACTCTTGTGGGTTTTAAATTTTCTACATAATGGTAATAAACTTCCTTGTGTATCACTCTGTTATAGAAAGCATACATGTATTTGTCTAACACGTAAAGTATTTGTCTGACAATTTATAGAAGCAAGACTCTCACTAGTCTTTTATTTGTGTGACAGTAACCTTACAGTCTAACAAAGTATAGGACTTACCTGTCTATCCCATACATGTATCCAGACTTAACACTGTCACCGCCCACTTCTGTACATTGGGTTCCAAAGGAAGTTCTCCCCATTTCAAATGGAAGGCTTTCACTGAAAATCACAAAACAGTTTTTTTTTACAAATTCAATGCAGTTTCTGGTTTAATGGCTCTTATATGCTCAAACTAATATGTGCGCTGTGCTTTAGATTTTTCCAGTTAAGTGTATGAGTAAGTTGGCATCATTTTTCTTGCAGGAGATTTCCAATAATGGAAGAACATGTATTTTGAAAATGACTCTATATACATTGCACATGAATGCAAGATTCTTTGCAAATCAAAATCACTTAACAAATCTGGCAGTGAAGAGTTCATTGATTAGAATAAACCTCTGAATTAAACCCCTAGATATTTTACTTAAATATCATACTTATAAAGTTTTTGAAGACGTGACAATTTACCTTTGGAGAATATTTCCACAGGATTTCCATTCCAGGGCCAGTTTTTAAACTGCCAGGCAGGACCCTGTACAAACACGGCAACCACTCTCTCCCTATGAAAAAAAAACAAAAACATAGGTAATCAGAGATTACAGAGCTCACCTCATTGAATGTTGTCTTTAAGTAAGGCAAAGTCACACAATTAACCAACAAAAAGTATACATTCCAAAAATGAATATATTTTTAAAAGCAATTTTGATCTGATACTTTGAAATAGACCTACATAAAAAATTTAAACTACTTCTTCTTCATGAAAATGTAATAAAAATCCAGCATCTGAAGCAAATTTGAGAAATGCAGCATTTGTGCAAGTTTAGTTTATACAATGTTATATAAGCCTTATAGTTTTTGGTAATAGACCTGCAACCATAACTTTTACCTTGTCTATTATCTGAAAAATGTATGTCCAATTCAGCATCCGAAGCAAGTCCACACCTTAGATGTATCATCCATGCAAGTTTGCTCATTAATCATAGTTTATTGGAAATGAAACATGCATCAAAACTAACATTTTCACTCATCCACAAAAATAGGTCAGATTGTTCCGAACAAGCCTGGAAGTATGTTTTTATCATCTATGCAAAATTGGTCATTAAAGAATCATAGTTGTTGGAGAGACCTGCACCAAAAACTTTTAACTATTCACTCAACCGGAAAATGTTGTAATTAGCATTCGAAGCAAATTGCATCCTACATGTATCATCCATGCAAGTTTGGTCAACATAGGGCTTAAAGTTACTTGCAAATTAAAACTGCACCAAAAACATTAACCTGTTTGCTCAACTGGAAAATGTAGGTCAGATTCTGCATCCGAAGCAAGCCCGGTAGTATGCATCCTCAGATGTATCATCCATGCAAGTTTGGTCAACATAGGGCTTATAGTTACTTGGAAATGAAACCTGCACCAAAAACTTTAACCTGTTCTTTCAACTGGAAAAATATCAGCAAAGACTTATGCATCCTTAGATGTATCATCCATGCAAGTTTGGTCAACATAGGGCTTATAGTTACTTGGAAATGAAACCTGCACCAAAACCTTTAACCTTTAGCTCAACCGGAAAATGTAGGTCAGATCAGCAAATGAAAAGCGGTAGTATGCATCCTTAGAAGTATCATCCATGCAAGTTTGGTCAACATAGGGTTTACAGTTACTTATGAAACCTACACAAAAACTTTAACCTGTTCACTAAACGGAAAATGTAGGTCAGATTCAGCATCCGAAGCAAGCCTGGTAGTGTGGATGTATCATCCATGCAAGTTTGGTCATTATTGTGCTCATAGTTCCTTGGTAATGAATTATGCACCAAAAACTTTAACCTGTTCACTCAACCGGAAAATGTAGGTCAGATTCAGCATCCCAAGCAAGCCTTGTAGTATGCATCCTTAGATGTATCTCTCTTTGGTCAACATAGGGCTTATAGTTACTTGGAAATGAAACCTACACCAAAAACTTTAACCTGTGGGATACCGGAAAATGTCGGTCAGATTTCGAAGCAAGCCCGGTAGTATGCATCCTTAGATGTATCATCCATGCAAGTTTGGTCAACATAGCTTATAGTTACTTGGAAATATACCTGCACCAAAAACTGCACCAAAAATGTTAACCTGCTCCAAAAACATTAACCTGGTAATTCCTTTGCTGAAATTGCAGCATCTGAAACTTTGTCTGGTACAATAAAACACACTTAAACCATCTTCCATGCATGTCTAATCAGTATAGGACACAGAAGTAATTAAAAAGAAAACTGCTCCAAAAAACTTAACCTTAACCTGGGACGCCGACGCCGAGGGTATCACATAAGCTCCCCCCAACTTCGTTGAGGTGAGCTAAAAAGTGACGGTTAATAAAGTTCTGAAATAAGAAATCTACCTGAAATACAATTTTCATCTAAGAAATCTACCTGAAATACAATTTTCATTACAAAATATTAATTAACAAGTTTGAGATTTAGTGGACTGGCTTTGCAATAACATGTAACATCCACAATTCTATCATAAACAGATAAATAAGAGGAGGAGATTACCAGTCATCCTGAGAAAGCTTTAGGGGGTTGTCGATGACTCGGTATGGCACAGTTAGTCCCCCTGTCTTCCTTCTCTGTATCAACACCTCGTTATCTCTCTTTGTGCCCTGGGATTTCTTCTCATCTGTGCTGACAAATCTGCAGGATAAAAATGTTGTTGTTTCTCAGATGCAATACATTAAATATCCAAAGTACCAAAGAGAATAAAATATACTGCAATACACAACAAATTGTAATTTCTGGAGTAATGGAATTCTAGAACATTGTATAAATGTCCAGTAGTAGGAACAAACATGAACCTACAAAGTTAACCTGATATTTGATCAGTATGTACTTCTGTTCATATTCCGTTATTCCTTGAGCCTCAGAAATAATTCTCACCTCAGATCCTGTAATATGTCTTTTGCGTTGAACATTGTGATAAGTGATGTTGTTGCTGCAGGTATTATAATAATGGGGGTTCTGGACCCTGTAAATAAACAGAGTATATATTACAGAAACAGGGAGGAATATCATTTGCTTTTTTTTATGGTGATGGCAAAATATCTAGTTTTATCTTTATTGTATATTTTCAAAACAATACATACACCTCATCTGTTAAATAACAACTTTCTTTTATATCTCAATAATTTTTATCTTATTTGCATACATAAAGTATGCATTAATTATTCACTGATAAAAAATACATTTATGGATTTATATAATTTGTACAGAGAGAGAGACATGATAAATAATAGAACCATGACATGCTTGTTTTGTGAAACACTTAAGGCTTTTACACTTTGTTTTTTTCAATTGGATTGAGGCCTGGCCTTAGCGACTGGTTCTAACATTGTTTGTGTTGTGGTGTTTACTAACCTTTTTTCTGACTGGGTGGAGGCCTGGCCTTTGAGAATGGATATGATACTGTTTGTGTTGTGGTGTTTACAAACCTTTTTTTCTGATTGGCTGGAGACCTGGCCAGTGAGGCTGGCTGTGACAATATCTGTGTTGTAGTCTTTCCTAGCCTTTCCTGTGACATTGTCTGTGTTTTGGTGTTTACTAACCTTTTTTCTGATTGGGTGGAGGCCTGGCCTGTGACACTGGCCTTGACATTGGCTGTAATGGTTGTGGTTGCTGTCTTTGTGGCTCTGGGCGTTTCTTCTGTGAAGGTCCGCCCTCTGTCACAAACTTGAGGGTCATTCCGTGGTAAGATCTGTTTGTATCAATCTGAAATTCTCCCGTGTCTGTAAATACAATGATCTGGATCAATATCAAAATCCTGGCAATGAAATTGATCAGATTTTATACAGAACCCCAAACATATGTTGAATTTAAATTTATTACCAAGGTCTTATCTTTTTAAAACTATTTAATTTATAAAAATGCATGTTATAGACTAAAAATGCACATGAAGATCATGTTAACTTCTGTGAATGCAAGTGTAAGAAGCACATTACTTTCTTTATAAGATTTATGAAAGGATTCAAAATAACATCAATACATTTAGATTTAATTCGTACCTTCTTTGCTTTTGAATGATTCCTGGTTGTATCTGTTATATCCAACAACTGGCTGAGGGGGCCGGGCCGGGGCCTTAAAAACAAGACAATGAAACACTGTTATGATGAATCATCTATGACAGATGGTATTGCTTTACAAGTATAACCTGCTACTTCAGCATCAGAAAATCAATTTATTTACATTATGCTCTGTTATAAACTTTCACAGAGAATTGTCTATAAACTTTAAATACAAATGCAAAAATTAATATAATATTTGTGTTCACTAAATACAGAGAAGATATGAAATAAGCTTGAGCTGAACTCACCACTGATGGTGTGTGGGGGGCTGGGTGATGTTTCTGGGTGCCTTCTTCTCTAGCCTTTATAGACTGCAGAATTCCAAATATGTTCTTTGCAAATTGCTAAATCAAATAGTAAGAATACAAATTAAGACACATTTCTTTTGTTATATATATATTTAAGTCTTGATTGCTTCTATTAAAAGCAACCTTTCTATTTATTAGTGGTACTGTTTTCAGATTTTCAAATTGAAACCAGTTTTTGTATAAAAATAGTTTATTTTAAAAGATATAAAAAAATCACAACAAGTGAAAGATAAAATGTATTTACAATATTATTGATATACATGGACTTAACTAAACATTCATAAAATAACTGTCATAAACACAATTAAACATTCATAAAATAACTGTCATAAACACCATTTCTAAGCACTTATGTACAAATCAAGTAACTAGAAGCCACCTACTTTTCCCTGACTCTGTAGGATGGTTGTTCTTGTCCGCCACAGTCGTTCTCTACTGACGATATCTCGCGTAACATCGACCTCAGCGTCCACAAAACTTCTCTGTTCTAACGCCCCCGACTGAATGTCATTCTCATCCACTTTGATCATGGTTCGCTTCTTTGCCAATCTTTTGGCCTTGATGGCTGCAATCTTTTCCAAAGGCATTGCCTCTGGTAAGGAAGAAGAGCTACAATGAACAGACTGGGTTTTAAGGGAAAAAAATGTCAACTGAACAGAAAAGTTTTGTTTATAAGGCATATTAAATTGTTATTTGCCTATTCTACATTCACTGATGACATTTTTAGTTAACCTAGTTTTAATGTACAGATGGGTATAAAGAGCACATTTTTCATGTCTCTTAAGTTTGCACACAAGGACCTACGCTAATGCTGCTGGAAGTACAGAATGCTCCCTTGGTGCGTCAATTTTGTTGATCCAGTTCAATCTGGCTTCCTGTACTTGCTTTTCCTACAAATGAATATTGTTAGAATGAGTTGCAGTTTATTTTTATTTGCTCCCAAATGTGAATAAGAAAAGGACAATCAAATAAAAATAATTCTTTTTTTTCAGAATATTTTTTTTATATTTTTGTATGCATATTTTACCTCCAGTCTTGGTTTCTTTTTGTCCCCTTCATGTGTGTCTGTAGCTCCTCTCTTAGCTATCAAGTAAATAAGAGGATTTTTAACAACTGTAACATTACCTTTTAGAAAAATTATCATTTCTGTAAGTACCAGTTGCCCATAATTCTGAGGTGTCCTGAAAAAGTGTAACATTTTAATTTACATACAACTACCTTGAGGAGGCTTTTGTAAGGGAATCTCCAAGGGAGCACTTTTGTCAATATTTGCTGAAGATGATGTTTCTCCATTTAGATATGAGAGCAGGTCTTTTCTGTCTGGGCGACGAACCACTGGTACACCTTTAGCCTATAAAAGCACATTACTATATAATTAAATGGTTCATAGATTTTTATAGTTTTTAAATAAGCTACTGAGGATTTAATATTTCCAAACTGATTTTCATTATTTTAAAACCTATTAGTCAGTAAGTCACTGTGGAACATAGCTGCAGATCTGTAGCTCTCCGAAAAAAAATATATTGATAGACCGGAGAGCTACAGTGCCACCCATTGAAAAAACTGTATATTTATTGCGCACAAAAAAAGTGCGCTCGGTTCTCGATTTATTTCTCCATGTTTTTCAAACTGTAATCTCAAAATATTACTAACCGTGTGTTCCTAACATATTCTTTTGCTTTTTCCACAACCAAAAATTCCTCATAATTGTTGTTAGTAGTCCTCCTGACCCTGTTATTGTAATCATCGAACATTTCGCTTATTTATACTGCCATTTTGGTTTCAAAGATAATTCGGTCCAATATGCTTCGTTCGGATGTCAACTACGAGAGTACTTGATAGAAGATAAAGGAATTTTTTGAAATCTTTCCTTATTTGCAATTGAGGTAAGAATTTGGAAGAATTAATTAAGAACCGAGCGCACTTTTCTGTGCACAATAAATATACAGTTTTTTCAATGGGTGGCACTGTAGCTCTCCGGTCTATCAATATATTTTTTTTTCGGAGATCTACAAATCTGCAGCTATGTGGAACAGTAATGCATATTTTTGCTTTTGTCATCCAAAAAAGAAAGATTTATACACAAAAGTTACAATAAACAATTCCACGCTTGTTGATGTTTTACTAATGGTACAGAGTACTTACTGCGGCCTCCCTGACGTAAAGTGCGTGCTGCAGTTGTACATTTTTCAGCAGAAAAAGAATACAATCTAGGGTATAATATTCTTTGGGAATACCATCTTTGCCAGTACTGAAAATAAAAAGCAAACCACTTTTAAAGGTTAAAGTAATGTACATTAAAATGACGCACATAAAATATAACTTTGTACTGCATATGCTTCTTTTGGTTTTGAAGTCCCTTCGCCTTCATTTCAAAATTGAATTTCCTTACCCATAGATAACATAATTTGTTTTGACAGTCTTGGGCCATGCAAGTTCTCCAAATACAACGTGATCATCTTCTTCTTTTATCTCTTTTTTGTTGATGTTGTACTGTCTCAAATTGCTCAAGACATCAGCCATGTTTAATGTTTTAACCGGAAATGAATGATTAATCTCCAATTGACAACAATACAATATAGATTTTGCTTGATAATTACGTGTTTTATTCATAACATTTCTTCATAATTATAATTAAATATCAATTGAATTCATAATAAATTATTAAGAAGCACACATTGTCACCGATTATTAGTTCTTTAGTTTTCGATTTTGGTTAAGAGATTTGTTTCAAGATGGCAGCGCCCAAGGTGAGTGTCCTGGAATCGGAAACTGAAGTATCGATTAAGCTGTGCGACCTAGTGATTGACAAGGCTAACAGTGCAATTCAGAGAGATGGAAAATTTACAGTTGGGCTTTCAGGTATCTTGAAACCGATCTATTTATCTGCATTGTGTTAAAACTACGGCGTTCGAAAAAAAAATAAGGAAGAAAATCACTCCGAACCCGATGTTAATTCAAATTTGGCAATTTTGTTGTTTTGCGTCAAATGTTAATTTAGAGATCTTTTGTAAACAGATTAACGTATAAATGAACACACTTATGATTTAATTTCACAAGAAGTGTACCCTTGACTCTTTTGTACAAATGTGCCCAAGATGAGCCTGATTAGTATTTCACTATTTGTTTGTCAGTGAGACTCAATTATGTCACTGGGTTCTCAGGTGTGTTAAAGTCAGTCAATTTATCGCGTCTCAATAGCTCAATAATTATATCATATACCTAGAAGTGTATCAGCCCTGATACATGTGTTTTGGACTAGGCGAGACAGCGCCTCGGGAGTAGGGCTGTCTCGCCCTCAGGGCTGAGATAACTCTGTCTCGGCCCGTCGTCAACTGTTTAATTTGTGCGAATTAAGAGTAAAATTCATATTTAAGTATTAAAGAGAAACATGATATATCGAAAAATTTAACCAAGATCTTTGAAAAATATTTATTTACATTAGAATTTTGAGAAAATTGTTTTTAAAAGTGCGCCAAATAATAGCACTTGTGACGTAAGAGAGGTACTCTTGTTTACTTCTAGGAGAGCAACAAATCATGTTTTGAAAAAATGGACATTTATTTGCTTCGACAGTAAGACAATACATTTTAATTTAATATATATCGTAAACAAAGCAAACAGTTACTATAAATCTCAGATTTACAAATTGTACCGATTCGTTGAAGAAGTTTTAACCCTGATTCGATCCAAAGTGAAAGTAGAATTTTAAAAAAAGTTTTTGACCTTTTTAATTCTTTGTTATCTAATGTGCTTCGAAATGAAATGTTTCAAAACACCAGGACTATTCTTTTTTATGACCAGACCAAGTAAATCTTTCTCTACATGATTATTCGCCGACAAGCATCATATCTCCAGGAACAATTGACGAAATAAAGAAAGATAACTCTAATTTTGTTACGACAAACTTTTTGATTGAAAAAATATCTAAAAATTTGTTCTTCCCTTTGGGTTTAGATATATGATATAAACAACATCACACCACTGTTTTGATCTCGTCCCTGTTATCAGCCCTCGGGTGGTCTCGGCCCGCGCCCTCCGGGCTTGGGACCAACCGCTCGGGCTGATACCAGGGCCGAGATCAAAACAGCAGTGTGATATACTATATAGAGCAATGGTACGCCAAAGGCCCAGGGTTTGAGTCCCGGTTGAGACTTGATTTTTCACCACCTGTGACATTTGGAGCCCTTTGTACAAAACCCAATATATGTACTCCCTTGGAACATGCTTCATGCATTCCTTAACCCATAAAATTTTGCGGACGAATTTCTGTGAAGAAGGAGAATATGTCTGCCACTCTACGGACAAATCAAAACTCATCTGCTCACTCATAGAATGATTGATAGACTTACACAGTACATTAGGGCAAGTATAAAGTGTAAGGTTCCACTGTGTACAATACTGAACAACTTCATAGAAAGCATGTACCAGTGCTGTCTCAATGATGTGCAAATTATGTTCTGATATGCATGAAAAGCAACAAACCCTTGTATATATGCTTAGTAAATTTCAAAAGTTAAGAATTATTTTTTTTTAGAAAATGCAAATCAAAACTGACTGAAAAAAAGGGCATTCATTTTATTTTTCTCAAATTATAACTGAAAGTTTGGAGGAATATACTTAAAACAGCCAATGTTTAATTTGTAAATTCCAGGAGGAAGTCTGGCCAAGTTTCTATGTAATGGTTTACCTGGTAGACAGACAGACTGGAGTAAGTGGCAGGTGTTCTTCTGTGATGAGAGGCACGTTCCGTACACAGATCCTGAGTGTACCTACACCATCTACAAATCAAAACTAGTCGACAACGGAGGACCGCTTCCGGGAGAAAACATATTTCCTATCAACCCCGACATCTCAGGTAAATCATGCTTGTATAGAATGAATTATCAGTTCATGCGGTATTAATTACCCCGGGTTTTGTATACATTCGGCCTTCGGCCTCAGGGTGTTAAGTTAAATTAATTTAAGATAATATTTTATTTTCTTTGTACCCTTAAAAATGCTTTGAAAACATCAGATTCAGAGTGTGTCTCAATCTATCGATTAGATAAAGATCTACGTACTACAATGCAGCGTGAAGTATGCATTGTGACGTCACGTTTTATTTACACCCGGCTCAAGTCGGGTGCATGGATATTTACACCCGACTTTGTAACCAATCAAAGCTCGTGTTACAAGCTAGATAGGAAATAAATGTATATTCCCCTTATTGCTTAAATAATATTTCAGGATTTTTTAATGTGTTGCATACTTTTATCAATGAGTTGTGGCAAGTTTTAATGAAGAAAAAATTTCAAATTCTAAAAATGGTATTTATTATCTTGAGTATCTTGAATGCATCAATTAAGACACTTTCATTATTTAATAAGCACACCATACAATTCTTTAATTTGACTTATGTATTTGCCTCCGCTTATTGACAGCACATTTGCATGTAACAACATATCGTACAAATCGCCATTTTTAATGTAATGTATGTTTGAAAATAACTGTTTTGATATAAATTAGGACAGTGAGATGATTTAATGTTGGATCTAAATTGTAGTGGAGGACGCAGCTAAGGAATATAAAGCTAAGATCCTGGGGGTGTTTGGGGGAGGAGACACACCTCGTTTTCACCTCCTACTTCTTGGGATGGGGCCAGATGGGCACACATGTTCACTCTTTCCTAATCATCCTCTTCTACAGGTGTGTATAACTGTGCAAAAAAATTACTCAGTATTTGAGCTATTTCCAGTCTGTATATAAATTACAGCCTATCTAGAGAAGCTAATGGGTACCAGAACTTGTGCCTTTTTACATTGACACCTTCACCAGTTATCATCAGCTTCATTTGGAGCATAGACTCAAAGCAATGAAAAGAATGACATCTTGGTTGTTGAAACACTTCTCATACCTTTAATGTTGCAAACACAATTTCTCCTTTCCATGTGAAAGTTTGAATTGATTTTATTTGCTTACATTTACAGGTAACAGATGAGATAATTGCCTCCATCAGTGACTCACCAAAACCTCCTCCCAGTAGAGTTACCATGACTTTTCCTTTGATCAATAATTGTGAATGTGCTATATTTGCTTCCTGTGGAGCAGGAAAGGCAGACATCGTAAAGGTTTGTCAGCTTTTCCAGTTCTTTTTTTAAATTAATTTTTATAGGAATCACATTTTTTATGTTATTTTGACCTCAGTTTTCTTTGTTTCAGAAAGTGTTAGAGAGTGACAGTGGTGATCCCCTCCCTGCAGCCAGAGTTCGTCCGACCAACGGGGAACTGATCTGGCTGTTAGACAAAGCTGCTGCCTCACAACTCAAAACGCAGTCCAATATCTGAAATGATCTCTGAAGTCATGTCAGCAAATCAAAACACACTCTAATATCTGAACTGATCTCTTATGTTATAAAGGTCAATGATGAAATAACACTGTGTGGGAAAGTCGAGTGGAAGTAAAACATTTCATTGTCCTTTTCCTTATACATATATCTTTATACATGTATGTGTAATCTTTTACACAAAGTTCACTGAGTATATAACATTTCTCTTTTGTCTCTTTAATATACTGTGATGAACATGTTCTTGTATAAAACCCTGTTATAAAACGTACAATGTACATCTAAAGTTCATTAAAAGAACCTCTAATTTTGTTTGGTTTCGTGTGTATGTGTTACAGAATAATTTTAACTCAGAAATAAATCCTGGATTCTTTCTAATGTTACTAGATGTAAAATAAATGAACTGATTCAAAATGCAAATCATATGAGGGACCACTGTAAGTGTTGTATTCAAAATATAGCCCAACCACCGTGAATGAGTGATTAAAGTAATCATGATATGAATCGCTAATAGTTCTACACACGTCCATACCATGCATTGTATCAAATTGTATTTTTAAATTTTTTAATGTTATTCATGAATCAGAATTCATGAATGTCCTTGTCAAAGCCACTAAAATATTATTCCCTTTTTTTTCTAAGTATACATACAGTATATAATTTTTCATACATGAAGGGATCAGTTTGAAAAAGGAATATAGTGAAAGAAATGGGCTGGGGGTCTTTCTTTTTGTCTTCTCCTCTTTCTCGATTTTAGGGTAGATCAATTCATCAGTTTTTTTAAAGGAAATGTAAGCTAATAATACTGTCTATTACTAAAATCTAAGTTCATGAATTTTGTTCTATAATCATTTTTTTCATTGTCCATGTCCATTTTTTTTTTCAAAGTGTGTTAAGGTTTTTCCACCCTCACAGTCACAGTTTAAATGGTTGAAAGTACATAAACTGCATTTATTTTTATTTTTATATTTTAAATTTACCAAACATTGCCAAAATTTTATAGATCACCATGTTATTAAAGATGGGGGACATAAATAAACAGAAGTATATGTCAACATTAAAAAAATCTTAAATTTTTGTAAACAGTGCTATAATAATTATGTAAAAACTGGTTCAGATGCATAATTCTGAGGCTGAAAGTTCCAAAATACTTGCTACTTATAATATACTTTTGAATTGTGTATATCAGGGAAACTATTTAACATTTAGTGCAATAGAGAAAATGTCTGAATGAAGATACTCAGGAAGGAGTTATTTCCCTTGTCAGCATTTTTAAAAAGATTTATTAATTGACTAAATAAAGAAAATATACATTTTTTAAATTCTTTATTTAACAATATTTATCATAACACCAATTGAAAAGCATTCTTTCAAAAAATGTTGTTTTATTTGCTACGAATCTAAATTAACAACAGATTTTGCAAAAACCTATGATATCATGAGGGAGGAAAGACCTTAATATGGTTGATTAGACATACATTATTCAACAGAGCCAAACAATCAACTCATTTGAGCTAAATATCTACAAACAATTGCCTACATAAATATTCACTGTTGTTGGTTTCACCTGTGTAAGCCCTATAGGCAGACAGAATAAATCTAATTAATCAAATTAAATGTAAAAAAAAATTAAGACCTATCATTTAGTATGAAATTGGTCAGTCAAATAACATCACAATGTAATTGTTTTTTCTAACAAGGTCATAATAAAGAATTTTAGAATGCTGAGTCTGAATGAGGTAGAAGAAATCCCTAGAACATCAACTTATTTGGAAATAGCCTGCAGTTGGTTAAAATGATTGAACTCTTGTAATGTATAGGAAAAATCTTTTAAAATTACGTGCTAAAGGTAAATGAAACATGAGGATAATGAAAAGTAATCATTTTTTTTTTTAAATCCATTTTCCAGCAGGTGAGCAATGTGGTTCGTGGACGTCTCATTTTATATGGATCGGGTTCGGTGTTCTGAAAAAACAACGCTAAAATCAGAAACAAAATTTGAAGGAAAAAAAATTTGAGAGTGATGACAGTGATGTGATTTAAAAACTCTGATAATGATGGATCCAAGTATAATTAAGTATATGCCAGAAACAGTGAGGTTTGCAATTCTCAGACTCGGAAGTAATTCTAATTGTAAAGGCAGTAACATCTTTTCTGATGCTAGATGCGACATAAGCAGCATAACAGATGAGAGGAGAGTTATGCTGGTAAAAAATTTTAATAACATATTTAGCCGTGGAATAGAGTTTGTAAATGAATTAAAGGATGGAAACCAGTCATATTTTGAAAACCTTGACATACAACACAAGGCAGCAATTACAGTGTTAACTTCATTTTTAAACGAGAAAGGTAATTATAATCACTGTGACACCCAAGTTAACATAACAGACTAGAGGAAGGTGATTGTTTTGCTTGTTTTTTCCTTCTGAAATTAATTAAAACAACTCTACTTTTTAAATTTTTAGAGCTGCATGAAAGGAGTATAAATGTCATTCTGGATCAGCTTCAGAATGGTGAGGGTTCTGATGTAGATTTGACAGTTGCGCTTGCGGATCATCTGCTGGGCAGACTTGCTCCTGGACAGTCCTGTGTCATCAATTCCAAGATTAATGGGAAACAACAATGTAGTTGTCAACTGGACCATTGTATGAAAACAGCAAAGTGGGGGAATACAGGGATAGGTTTGTATTCTGAACACTGATCAAATGATCTGAGCGGCGAAATTTTGTAACAACTTACGTTTGACTGTAGTTAGTTGTCTATGAAATCAATGAATACCTACATGTACCAGTCACACATTATATAGAATTTTTAATTTTAGGTCATGAGGCAGTGTGGCATGGATTTGTTGATATTATGTTTCCATCTTTCGATTGTGTTGAACCAGACTGTATTGCTACCACCGTTTATCCAGTAGCAGCAGAATCTAGGCATACCATGAAGGAAACCAGAGGTAATGATATGAACCGAGGAAGAGAAGCAATTGAACAAAATACACATGAATACATTATGCATTAAACATTTACTCAATGAAGACTTAAAATATTCATTTTGTCCTTATTTACAGTAAATGGTGAAGAGCAGGATTCTCGTGAAACAGCAGATACCGATTCAGTCGTGGATCAGAGTGTGGCAGAGACAATTGTGTTTTCATTGATTCAAAAGAACCGCCGTCCAACCCTTAGAAATCATTTGATTCCTCATATTGTTATAAGTCCTAGTGACTTCAGAATTCTAATGTATGATGCAGTTAATGATGTGTTTCTGTGTAGTGTGCTGCTACCACTTTTTCAGGAGAAATCACTTCACATAACATCTGTTATCATCATTTGGATGGTACTGCATTACAGACTATTTTGTTCAGGGATAGATATTGAACCAAGAAGACTAGAACAAGTGCAATCAAACTTTAGAAATTTAGTTCAGGAGAAATGGGATATTTATAGTGATTCACTCAAGTCCTGTGTAGGAAGATTTTCCAATGTCAATCAAGAATTCTTTCCTTCAAATGATCGCATGCTCCTGGGAACAGAAGAATTTTAGCAGCATCAATGTACCCGTGATTAACATGATGTACATTGTTTTCCATATGTAGAGTCACTAGAGATGTATGTTTGAGGGAATATACAGTAAAAAATACACACTTATATCTGTTGTAATGAACATGTATAAAAATTTAAAATTAAAATATTACATATGCCAGTGTACAACTCTGTTGTTTTCCTCTCCCATCTAATTGTTATTCATGTTGTTACTGAGGATTTCAGGATATATTGAATACTTTAAAAAGGTGTATATAATTCTGCAGGTTTTTAAAAAATGCTCCTCCTCTCAGGGTTCATGGAAAAATTATGTTAGGTTGTCAATAGTTGTTAACTGTTAAGTATAAATTCAAGAAAGGTCTTCTGCCAAATATTAAATATTATGGTTATTCTTAATTTGTGTTTAAAATTTTTAAATTACAAGGAATCAATGCTATTGTAATCTATACTTTATTAGTACATAAAAATAAACATAACAACAATATGTTGGTAGACAAATCACGCTGCTATTCGTAGCATCATCATTGTCCTATCACATCATCTTAGACTGGTAGTCCTAACACATCACTAAACTCAATAATAAGACTAGTGCTAATTGTAACGGGAACCGTTACATATGTTCCCCAAATGCTCCCAACTTCATTTTGGTGGCTCATTCCCTCTAAGCTTCATCAAAAAAAAAACTAAACTCTATGCATCTGAAACTTAAACAACGTTTTTCCTAAAGTATACCAAGTATAAACAAAATTTTTACATTGCACGTGTGCACACTTGCATGCATATGCGGAATGACCATATCATTGTATCTACACTATTAATTTATTATAATGTACTTAATATCTCGGCATTTAATCAAAAAGTATTCGAAAATACGCTCAATCAAGTGCGTTTGTAATTATACGTATTGCACGTGCACGCACGTGCATGCATGTGCATGCATGTGCATGATGACCATACCCTCTTGTAGGGGTCCATTAAGATTATCTATGTTCTAAATCCCATCCTGTTTGACTGAAAACAAAGGGAGTTATAGGCATTTAAAGTTTTAGGCAATCAGATTGCAGTGCACGTGCATGTGCGTGATTTCATGATAATTATTTTAAATCATATCGTAGGATATTTTAATGCATGACTATGTTTTAAATTTCAAAGTATTTCGTCAAAAAATGAATAAGATATTGAGATTTTTGTTTCAGCCAATCAGAGCGAAGCGCACGTGCATGCGCGTGAGTTCATGATAATTTGACAATGTCCTCTTGTCTATAATACTAATACATTCTTATTTTCTGAGTTTTAACACATTTCATCCGGAAATAGAAAAATTACGGCTTTATCAATTGTATTGGGCATTTTACATGTTGCACGTGCACGCTCTTGCAAGCACGTGCGCGCAAAATGACCTTGATTTCGCAAATCTACATAACATGTCTACTTACCCTAAAAAGATTTTACTTACATCAGATGAACAGTTTACAAGATCATTCGCGGACAAATAAGTACCCAGGAAGAAGAAAAATAATAATAAGAAACAGAGTAAAAACAATATGTTCCCAAACTTCGTTTGGGGAACATAACAAGCACCTATTATCTTCCTCCACTACAGTTGGCAAATAAACACATTTGAAATTCATCACATTTTTCACTATGCTCAAACAAGCACCTGTTAAGTTCATCACATCATCCCACTGTGGTTCTGCAAACATTCTGACAAGTACCTGTCAACTTTCTTGCATCATCCAATACAGTTCAGCAAACACACAAACAAACAAACACCTTGCAACTTCATCACATCAATACAGTTCAGCATTCAAACAAGCACTGTCAACTTCATCACTTTATCCACTACAATTCATCAAACACTTTATTACTTCAGAAACACTTCATTACTTTGTCCACTACAGTTCAGCAAGCACTCAAACATCGTGTGTTCCTCAGTTTCATAGCACCCCTTGATCATTTTGTCAGCATCGTGTTATGTAACATTTCTTTTTCTTAGAGCCTTTTACAAATATTGGCAGTTTCTCCAAGATCCTGAGTTGGAACAAGATGCATGAGTTCAGATGTGTATATGAAAGACTGCAAATGGTCAGTTGGGCGACTAGATTGTTTCCATTGAATGCTGCTCACAAGTACACATGTAACTCTTTTGATAAACACTGGGTTGGTTTTTCATCTGTCTGTAAATAGATGTCTCTCTCAGTTGTAGATACAAGTTCTTTATTCCATTCAATTCTTCAAGAGATCCTGTTAAAACTGCAGCTTTTTTATAAGTCCACCTGTAAAAGGTAAAACATAAAGTGATAAAGAGAAATTTTAAATGCACTGTGTAGGCAATAAACACGGTAAACATACACTGTACAATGTTTGATATTTCAGTTCCCCTTTATGAGATCACATTGATCATGTGACTGTGATAAACTGCCTACCTCCCTGTTCTTGTATTTTCCTTTTCAGTGACATGCTTTCCTCTTTCTGGGGGACTATTTTGTTACTGCCAGGGCGGGGTAGCTGGGGACCAGGGGTAGGGCCCGGCTTGTTACTGAAGTACACCATCTGTAGAGCCTGCATAACAATTCTAGATTTGTTAATTTTGTATTTCTAGCTTTGCCACTTTCATTTTTTAATAAAATGAAATGTGTGTTGTTTTCTAGTTAATGATTAGTTTTTCAAATCATAGTAAACAAGAGGCCCATGGGCCATATTGCTCACCTGAGCACATCGGCTAGGAAAAAGCACAAATCAGATGAGAACTGTGAAAAGTCTACGGGGGGGGGGGGGGGGGGGGGGGGTTGAATTATAATACTACTTAAGAATGCCTTCATATCAATATGGCATATGACCTTTCTGTTCTTGATAAAAAGATTTTAAAGGATTTTTTAAAACATTTTGTTCCTATATATTACTTCATAATAATTTGAATTTGATTCCCCATTGTTTTCCTCCCTACCCCAAAGGGTCTTGATTTGAACAAATTTAAATCTTCTATACATGATGATGCTTACATGTCAATATGACTAAACATAGCTTTTCTGTTCATGGGATTTTTCCCTTTATTTTCCTGTGTAAAACTTTGATCGGCCATTGTGGCCCCACCCTACAGTACTCTTGGGGATTATGATTTGAACAAACTAGGATCTACACTTCCTGAAGATGATTCCATATAAACATCACTAACCATGGCTTTGCAGTACTTGAGAAGATTTTAAAAGATTTCCCTATATATTCCTATGTAAAACTTTGATCGGCCATTTTGGCCCCACCCTACCTCCAGTGATCATAATTTGAACAAACTTGAAATTACAATACCTGAGGATGATTCAACATAAGTTTCATCTTTTCTGTCCTTTTGGTTCTTGAGAAGAAGATTTTTCTGATATATTCCAATGTAAAACTTACCCATTGTGGCCCCACCCTACCCCTGAGGGTTATGATTTGGACGAACTTGAATCTACACTGTCAGAAAATGATTCTACATGAGTTTCATCTTTCCTGTCTCAATGGTTCTTGAAAAGAAGATTTTTCCTATATATTCCTATGTAAAACTTTGATTGGCCATTGTGGCCCCACCCTTTCCCCGGGGATCATGATTTGAACAAACTTCAATCTACACTACATGAGGATGATTCTATATAAGTTTCATCTTTCCTGGCCCAGTGGTTCTTGAGAAGAAGATTTTTATAGATTTTTCCTATATACATATGTATTCCTATTTAAAACTTTGATCAGCCATTGTGGCCCCACCCTACCCCCGAGGGTCATGATTTGAACAAACTTAAAATCTACACTACCTGAGGATGCTTCCATATGAGTTTCATCTTTCCTGGCCGAATGGTTCTGGAGAAGAAGATTTTTTAAGAATACCATTAATTTTTCACTAATTCATAATTATCTCTCCTTGGAAGAGGGTGTGGCCCTTCATTAGAACAAACTTGAATCCCCTTAACCCAAGGATACTTTGTTAAAATTGGCCCAGTGGTTCTTGAGAAGAAGAAAATGTGAAAAGTTTACAATGACAATGACGACGACAGACAATGGACAAATTTTGATCAGAAAAGATCACTTGAGCTAAAAATTATTTGCAATTATTACAAAAATCCTTCAGGTTCGCTGCTGTTTAATTTCATAGAAAATGAATGGCTGTCAATGAAAGGTAGTCAGAAAATGTTAATACAGGTAATTAAGAAAAGACTCGAAGGTCAGACACTTAGTCAGACCTGAGTTGACGTGCAGCGCTGTAAGGGGTCCATTTTCAGCATCGCGGACAATACTTCCAGGAGATCATCTGAGGCAGCTATAAATATCTCCTTCAGTGGAATGGCAGGGAAGGATTTAAACTGGAGAAAGTCGGGCAATGATTTGATTTTCTGTGGAAAATAAACAAATCAATATTAGATTTCATGGCTGCTGTTATATAAAGGGATCTATGTTTGTACAGTAGAGGAATGTCAATTGAGGTTTTGCACACAGGTCCTATCTTACAACTATTCACACAACAGAAAATATTGCTCTACAGACCATCATTGGGTATACTAATAAATGAATTAGTAAAGGGATCTACCAAACATATGTAAGGATTTAATGAACACATCCTATGGCAAAGTTACATCATACATGGATGAACAATTTTGATTTTAATAAATAGAGTTCATTGTAATTTTCAAATGAATAAAACATGTAAAATGTTTCAAAACTACATGGAATGAATAGCATGAATTCATTATTTGTGTATTAGTTGTTTTACTGTCATTAAAAATGACACACAGAATACCAAGAGATGGGGATCTACATATGATAAGAAGTTACATACACTAAGAGACCTACAGAATATTTAAGTACATTACCAGCCAGCCTTTCTTGGTAGGTGTACCAATAGTTACATACACTAAGGGACCTAACATCTACTCTACGGAATATGTTTATATATACGACTTACCGGCCAGTCTTTCTCTGTGGGTGTACCCAGTGCTTTGAATATTTTACTGAGCTGATCCAAGTCCGACTCTCCGGGTAAAAATGGCACCTAGAATTTATGACACAGAAATTACACTTTCTGTCAAAGTGGCCATGATTAAATATAACGTACATAGGAACAACCAGTGTTCTTTTATAAAACAAAAATAAAATGGTCAAGAGCATAAAATAATTACCCTTAAGAATGTTTTTATATGTTTTATATTTTTTATCAACTAGGCAGACATTAAGCAGCACATATATAAAATAATCTATGCAATCAAATATGTAAATATAAGATGAATTTCCATTCTGTCTATCACAACCTAATATATTTATAATCATTTATACCTTGTAAATACACAGAACCTACAACTAGTAAAGACCTACTCTCAGAAGTAATTCTGCCAGAATGCATCCAACGGCCCATATATCTACTCCCGTCCCATACTGCCGCGCACCAAATAAAAGCTCTGGACACCTGTACCACCTATAGTAACAAGCACTTGTAATTACATCCACGTAATTGGTTTAAAAATACATGTAAATCAAATATTGAAATTGAATCAAAATCTTCACTTAGATACATGCATGTAGTTCAATATTAGAAGCACAAGTGTGAAATTTTAAAGTATTCAAAATAGTTAAGATATAAATCTCCTTCTCTTCTATAAAATTTGTCTGAATATTGTACCTAGTAACCACTTGATGTGTGTACACTCTTGTTGGTGATCCAAAAAATTTGGCCAATCCAAAATCTCCGATCTTTAGGATGCCCTGGTCATTGATCAGTAAATTGTTTGGCTTCAAATCCTATAGAAGATCTATTATTTTAATGACCATACAAGTATATTGTTATAGTGTTTCAAGTATGGATTACTATTCATTTTGGATTATGACAAAAAACTATAATGCATAAATTATATACACTGTATGTACATGCAGTGACATAAAATACTGCAAATCTGTCCTGAAATTATTTGCAATTACACTTTTCAAAAATCATAAATATCATGAAGGCATATAACATATATAAGAGTTCATCCATTTTTGTTATCAAAATTAATGTAAGCTATATAAAACATAGTTCTACCCTGTGCAGGATAAACTGTACGTGAAGATATTCCAGTCCCAGGAGAGTCTGCAGTACGTACGACTTGACATGGCCTGGAGTCATTACAATGTTCTGGTCCTTAATGATAATCTGAGAGAGAGGGGGAAAAAGTGTTAGTCATACCAGGTGACTATTTATCATCTGACTCGATACAGGAGTAAAGACAAAGAATGCAAAATTTACAAAGTTCATCTCAAAGTATGTCATCTACCAATGAACTCAAAATCTTGAAGAAATAAAATTTCCTCATAGTGTGCAACCCTGGATGCATCATCCTTGCTATTTTGGTAACCATTAGGTTTACAGTTACTTGTCAATGAACCTGGGCATTCACAGAAAATGTATCTGAAGCAAGTTTTGTAGAGTGCATTCCTCAAATATCACCCTTGCCAGTATACTCACTGAACGTTATATGGTAACTTGGGAAAGAACAACTCCAAAAAATTTAATCTGGTTATATGTCTTCCAGAAAACAAATTCAGGTCTAGCATCCAAAGCAATTCTAGTGTCATGTAGCATGTAATTATAAATGCACAAGGGATACAAATTTTATTTTTTCACTATATTTACTATAAAGCACTTTTTTGGGGGCAATATCTTCATTTTTTCATAATCACGTGAGTCTGCTGGCAAAAATTTTATTCTGTCTTGCTTAGAAATCTTAATTCATGTACTTATCTTGCAAAAATTTGAGGATGTACAGTATTTTGGAGTAGACATGCTCCAAAAATTTTAACCTGTTCAATCACATTGACATGGATATTTATTCTGAAGTATAATTAGATCAAGCATCTGAAACATGTTCTGTATTGTCAATTCCTAGATGCATCATCCAAGCAAAGTTGGTCACCAAAGGGTTTAAAATTACTTAAACTTACAGTTAGGATGCAACATCTATTTGGTTTAGTCTCCATAGAGCTAATACATGTATTTTTAATTTAATGAGCTCCTATAAAATTAACCAATGGGCTTGCTCCTTTAAATTTTAAGTGGAAAGCTGAAACAAATACTGAAACCAAAGCCACGAGTATAGCATAATCTTGACTTCCTTGAGGTGAACTTAACAATGCACATTCAAATTGAACCAAACACAAATTTTACCTCCAGATCTGTTTCCATAAAGTCAAACACCAAGTTGACATTGGACCGATGTCCCAATCCAAATACATCTTGCAGCTGAGAAAGTAAATATAAGAAAAATTACTTAGAATAGTGTGCTATACATTAAAACTACACATAGAAACACTTTCATGCATGTTTTGTTAAGAATATTTAGCAAATTGATAAGTCATTATTGTATTCTAATAACTTTACATTTCTTGTAAGCTATTTCTGATTGGTATTTATTTCCAATTTCTCGTTAGACCTATTTACCCCTATAATATGTTTGTGATGAAGATCCTGTAATAATTTTATTTCTCTTAAGGCAGTTCTGTTAATTCCATCAGCAGCTTCAGCTCTTGTGCCAACTTTAATCTGGAAAAAAAAAATAAAAATGCACATGCATGTTGCATTTGAATGTTGAAAAGTTTTTCACTCTGCATGTAGACAACAAAATAAGGTATAGCTATGGCACGCCAAATTCACAAAAATGAGATAAACCTAGTTTCACATTTGATAAACTAGGTTTATCGACTGTAAACTATAGTTTACAAACCATAAACTATAGTTAACAATTCGTAAGTATAGTTAACGACTTAAGTATAGACAAACAATTTTTAATTATTTTCATGTGTAAAATATATTTAACGGTTGTTAACTATAGTTTCCTAGAATGAGATTTTAATTCAAAACGTTAACAATAGATTTCTTTAAATTGAACGTTTGTAAAGTATAGTTTACACTCGTAAAATTAGTTAAGAGTTGTTAACATAGTTTCACAAATCGTGAAACTATATTTATCAGATCGTTAACTACTGTTAACATTTTGTAAAAAGTTTACAAATCGTGAAATTATATTTATCTATATAAATCTATGTTTTGCAATCGCAAATGATTGTTTTCAGTGTTAAGTATAGTTTACGGTTGTGAAACATAGATTATCGCTTTAACTATGGTTTACGGATGTAAAATATAGATTAATGATGTTACAACCGATAAACCTAGTTTATCGACTGTGAAACTATGTTTAGCTCATTTTTGTGAATTTGGCGTGCCATATATAGCTTTAGAAACCAAATAATTATAACCAAAATATGAAACTTGTAATTACCTTTTTGACTGCTACAATGTTCCCAGTTTTCAAATCCTTTGCTTTGTAGACTGTTGCAAACTAAAAGACAACAAGAGTGACAACTACTTTAACAAGTTTTTTAATTACAAATGTATCCACAGGGGCTTGTCACGAAATATTTATCTTCATTTAATAAAGTTACCCCTACTATAAAAATACACAAGTTTTGCAATGTAAAAATAGAAAATTCACTACCACAAATTTTCACCAAACTATCTTGTCATGTCATGTTGAACTTACAAAAGAGGAAATTTTGAGTATAGATTCAATTTTAATATTCTTCAGTCAAATACTGACAAAACCGTAGTCATACAACAACTACCTCTTTACTGCATATTTGGATGAAGAAAAAGTTCGAAAAAATATGAATTTGCGGCATAAATATATAATGCAGGGCTCTGATTGGTTGCTTTCTGTAAATAACTCGTACACCTTTGTGTAAGCTCTTTAATTTAGTGCACCAAAACGGAGGGAAAATCAAACTGTCGTGATGGCATTGAACAATATAGCTGTGGTTTCATTGTACGTATTTTACTATATTTGGTTATATTTATTTATATAAAATTAATAAACATGTTAAATATCCTTCACTAAGCATGTCAATCCTTACATTTTATATTTTGTGTACGAATTTTACAGAAAGCAACCAATCAGAGCGCTGCTTTCAATTGACGCATATTAAAGTGTAAATTTTCCAAATTTCGAGAAAAAAGGTTAGTTATATGACTAACGGTAAGGTGTAGAATTTTACTGAAGAATATTAAAATTTCTATACTCCACTCACTCCTTGAACAACCTGAACTGCAATAGGTTATGAAAGTCCGGTCAAAATTTGTGATGTTTTTTTTTAGATTCCTCCCTTGTGTATTTTTAAGTATTAAACTTTATTAAAAGAAGATAAATTACAATTGTGATGTATCTATTGTGTTGCTTTTAGCAGCTGTTTAGTTAGCTCCTAGAATGAGATTTTAATTCAAAACAAATAATTCTTTAAATTGAACAATGACACTACCCCGCACAATTAATTTAATTAGTAACGAACCTGTCCTTCGCCTAAAAATTCTATTTTTTCATACCGCCGGGACTTGTCTTCCATCATTTTGAAAAATTAAAATCAATGTCAAATTGAATCTTTAAAAGCTATATAAAACTCAGTGACCTTAAAACACATTTATCACTATGACATTTCAGATTTCTGCTAGTAACTTTTACATATAAAATTCGACTAAGTGCATTCGAGTGGGAAAAAAGTTTTCTTGAAATGACAATGAATCTTAGAATGATCATTAAATGTACAAATTTCACTTTTTTTGTATTTATGATCGATTAATCTAGAAATAAAGAAAAAAAAATACTAAAATATGTTGAAAATGTTCTAGTACGAGTTATCAAAACGAAACAAAAATGTCAGCTCTGAAGGAAAATGTAAACAATGAACAAAATGGGAAATATATTGACTCCATTCTTTATAGCCTTTTCGCCTATTTTATCTCCGTTTTGCAATGTAGTGAAGAAACATCAAACTCAATATTCACCAAACTATTGTCATGTCATGTTGAACTTACAAAAGAGGAAATTTTGTGATAGGAAGCCCCGAGTCTTGAGTCAACAGCTGACAAACCGTGTTACAAAATATGCTTTACTGCATTTAAACGATAAAGAAGAAAAAGTGAAGAAAAAATCTGAGAAAGCAGAAAAAAGTATAATAAATTTTAAAAATTGGCTTTTATTTTAGCGATCAGGGTGAATTTGTGCTATTTTTTCTGAAATGTAAGGTGATACATATATATGTTTCAATGAACTGTTGAGTCAGTTTTTATAATTGACATCTTTCTTCCTAAAATTTCATTTTAATTTGGGTTTTTTTCTTCAAATGCTAGTAAATATGTCAGTATCTCTTTAATCCATTATAGTTCTAAACATCATCATGCATGGTCATTAATTAACATCGGTACATATCACTTTAGAATTAATTTACTGTTTACTAATTAAATCAACTGCCAATTTGACCATGAGGCAAAACTGCAAAAGTCTGGAGAAATGTGAAATCAAAGATATAAAGGTGTTAATATGTCTAAGGCCCCAGAGAATAGAATTTTGCTGCAACTCTCTGCTTTGTTAATGCAATTGAATTTGCATTTCCATGTGCTTCATTGTCTATATACATAACTCCAATAAACAAGTGTGTTAATATAAGCATAATATAAAAGACCACCACCTTCATATAAAATAACCACAGCATAATATAATAGAGCACCATCTTCATATAAAATAACCACAGCATAATATAATAGAGCACCATCTTCATATAAAAGAGCACCATTTTCATGTAAAATAACCACAGCATAATATAATCGAGCACCATCTTCATATAAAATAACCACAGCATAATATAATAGAGCACCATCTTCATATAAAAGTGCTTCATTTCGTATAAAATAACCACAGCATAAATGAAATTTGCAGCTATGGTATTGTAAGTGTGAATTTCACTTCAGTGAAATACAAAGTATCTTTGTCAAAAGTGACTGAATCTTACTCTGCAGTATATGTAAATACTCAGTGTAAATGTATAGATTCATTTTAAACTAACACCTAAAATAAAAACTACCAGATCTAAGATACAAACTCTTCTAAGAAATCTACAGTGTTTTATTCAATTCAATTTATTTTTAATTTTTGGGAGATTTAAACCTGTCTCTTTTATTGCTGCATGTGAGATGAAGTATATCCTTTATATACTGAGTGTTTCTTACCTGTTTATAGAGAGAAAATGGGAGAAGAAAACAGGCCAGGGGGAACAGGGAGACAAGAAGAAAAAGAGAAAAAAAGAGAAGAAGCCATCTCCAAATTATTTCCTAGCAGTTCAAGTCACAGAGGAAGAGGTTTGTAATCTATAGCTGTGCGTTTTTGTCTAGAGTGTTAGTTGACTAGGGGAGTGAGAGTAGAGTGTGGTATTAACAATATGCAGATAAAATTTGTCTGTCCAGCCATCCATTTGTCTGTAAACCTTTCACATTTTCTTCAAATTCACAAGATCAACTGGGCCAGTTTAACCAAATTTGGCACAAACCATTTTTAGTGTGTGAATTTGATTTTTTTATGATTATATAGCTTCTGAAAAGAGTTGAGAATCAGGATCAAATTTAATAAAATGCTTGCATACAGAAAAAATTCCTTTCTTTAAGCCTGGTTAGTCATAATTATATTGAGGTGTCCACATGATCGACCACATGATGTGTAGATTCAGAAACCCATTGTAGTTAGGGTAGTGCCATAATTGGGTTAAACTCTTTTAGGGGAATATAAAAAAAATTAAAACATTCTGAAGAACAGCAGGAATAATGTAAGGCAGGTGAGCATCATGGCCAATGGACCTCTTTAATGAAATTTTGAAAAGACATCACATTTTTTTATTAGTTTACTTTTACATAATAAAATACAATCGACACATTTGAATTGTATCTAGGCATGGTTTTTACGATAAATATTAAATAGCGATTTTATCACTAAATAACATTCTTGTCTAAAATGGTTGTTCACAAAGCTATATATGATAGAATTCGTGGACATGCTGAGCATGTAAGATCTGATAAACAGTTGGTAGACGTTTTTCTGTAAGACGTTCAGAGTCAGATACAGTCCTGGGGAGGTATATCTGAGTATGACGATCACGCAGTAGGGGAGAAATGTGAGGATATATACAGCCGTCACCACCCCCAGCATCAACAACGTCTTCCTCGTCCTAGACCGCGGCCCGAACCTCATGCTCTCGTTTGAAAAAGATTCAAACCGAAGATTCCTCCTGGAAGATTGACTAGACAAGGAACTCTTCACTGAAGACATCCGTAAAGTTTTCTCTGGAGATCCTGTGCTAAAGCGGAAGGAATGCTGTGTTTTTAATGGCGATGTTCGTTTTGGTGAAAATCGTCCACTATATGTACTGGATCGGCTATTGTCACTTCTACGGCTGCTGCTAAAGAGTTCTGCTGAGCTGGAGTTGCTTTTTGTGTTCGGACCTCTAGAAGTTTCAACGAAGACATCGTCCTCTAGAAAATTTTCATCTATGTCTGTCAATGCACACTTTGCCTTTTGTCTACAACTAGGGCAATTAAAATTGTTTTTTGAGTTACATGAACACGAGTCTATCGAACACCTCTTGAATGAAAATGACGAAGCGAATCTGCCGCTTCTGCGAAGAGCAGAAGGTCCGACTCGCCTTCGGTAGATCGCGCATCCAATCAAACTGTAAATGACAATCAAAATGCTATCTACGACAAAGATGGACACGATAAGGTAGATTCCATGCCAGAAAGGCTTAATGGCCATTTTGTTTGAGACATATTTATCGTCAATGAGACAAGTTTTGGAGAGAACACTGTGATGAACACTTGTGGATGTTCCGAACAGAATTAATGCTGGCCATGTGGTTACCATGGCAATCAACAGCGAACATGCGATGTAGATTTTGCAGCGTTTAATTCCAAATGGAGCTTTTTTAAACGTGTACCTTATTCCAAACAGTCGGTCAAAGGCAATGCCTAGGAGGATTAAAGTGGAGAAACAGTTAAGGAAATATGTCATCCATCGAGAGACCTTACAGAGAACTGGGAAATCGAAAGATAAAGGATTCAACAACAATGCGATCTCAAATGGCATAGTGGCCAGGCAGTTAATTAAGTCAGTTAAGGCCAAAGTTAGAATAAACAGGGTGGAAACTTTGCGTTTCTTCCTCCATTTCTTGTAATACACACAGCAGGCGAGGGTATTCCCAGCGACCCCAATAGGAAGTAGGCATGAGACATAAATCAGGGACGGCAGGAGCTGCGACTGAAGTATATCAACAGAGGCCGTACTTAGTGAATCATTGCTCAGGATGCCGATCCTTGAAACTGCTCTTATCCACAGCGACGAATTGACTGTAATATTCATTGTATTATGTTGCAATCTGAAATTAAGAAACAAGAGATAAATTTATGTGATCTTTAATAGCCATATTTTAAACATTTAGATTTTTTTTTCTTTTTGACCCCAACACCACAAATTATGGCCAGAAATCACTTTAATGTCGCTATGATGACTTTTTAAGCTAATATAGACTGATCGTATTTTGCCTTACTACTTTAATACTAATTGTTAGGTCTTTGTTTTTATACTGAATTTGACTTCAGAATATGTTCTGTCCACCTAATCACCTCTGTTGTGACTGGTCAGGGGATGCTTCCTTCTTCTAGGTAACTGATCCCACATGTGGAAATTTAAAAGTTTTGTGTTTCATACCCTCTCCACAGATCTACATTGTTTATTATCTGCAAATACATATTGCACTCATGATGGTTGCATGCAGTTTGTCTCAATCCCATTTATCTTTTATTTTTCTAATTAACGTGTACAATAGAGGGATTTTCATTAGGATGCTATAACCTTTTTCTTTGTCAGTGGCCCAAGTATTTTACACAAAGATATTTATAAGAATACCTGATATTACGATCCTAGAAATAATAAGTTTTTTTCAGTAAAGACAAGTTCTAACATTAAGAAACTGGACTATAAATTGATATTACATAGAAATATCTAACCTTATGCCAGATTTCGGAGAGTCTGCAGACGACAGGACACTACACCAGGCTTGATATAGTAAGCTTCATATGTCCAGAAGTGGGTCACAATTAAAGACGACCAGAAGTCATAGAGATTATCCCAGCGTGTTCACTTCCGCACTTTAATACTGAGCATCACTTAAATCGTATGCCTATCACAATATATGAAACATATTATTCGCATTTTAATGCACTGTTTAAATTACGATTTCAAAATTTTGCTTTTTGAACCTTTTAATCTTGATTCTGAGAATGACGGTGTTGGGGCTGGAAATTGAGTAAACATCCATGGAAACGATTTGTGCAGAATTTTAAATCGTGTCCTTGGGACCTTTAAACACTGACGTAAATGGCCAACTTGTTAAGGAAATCAACAATAAGGCCTTGATATTTTCAGAAACCCCCTTTTGGTTTATCCTCTATAAATAGGTCAAAATAACTAAGGATAAAAGTCGTGTAAACAATAGCGTTATCAACAATTGAAATTCAGTTTCAATGATGCGTTGTTATCATAATGGCAAATACGTTTTCCTTGATGAGATTCTTGGCTTGCATCTAAAAGACTGAAACATTGATGATACAACGGCATGAATTTTAATTAGTATTTGTGGACCATTGTCGTAAATTGAGCAAGAGGTTTAATGTATACAATTTTAACGATAAGCTTAAAACCATGCAATAATCATTCATATGCAGGCCTTGCACTCCGTTATTAGCAGACCTATTTTTGTATTCACATGAAGCAGAATTTGTTTAAAATCTTTGACATGAAAAGAAGAAAACACTTGCTTTGGCCTTATTCAACTCGACATTTAGATATATCAACGACGTATTGTCAATCAACAATGATTATTTCCATTCTTATATCGACTCATACTGAGCTTGCAATAAAAGATACAACCGAGTCTGCCATTTATGTTTCATATTTGGATCTTTTACAAAAAAAAAAGACGTTTACAGTTACCTAACAACAAAGCTTTATGATAAACGTGATGACTTGAATTAACTTTTCAATCGTCAACTTCCCTTACTTATGCAGCAGTACACATGTATACTTAGTCACCTGAATACGGAGTTGATTCGATGCGCAAGAGCATGTTCTTCGTATGAACAATTTCTAAAACGAAGTTATAGACAAACAAGATGATGAAGCAAGAGTATCAGTAGTATCGTGTAAAGCCATCAATTCGTAAGTTCTGTGGTCGATACAATGACCTTGTCAGCAAATACAATTTACCATGAAGTCAAATGCTGACTGACTTTTTTCATATTGATTGCTAGGCCATTATTTACACACTTAGTTTGGGTTAGGGTTAGGGTTAGGCTTATTTTTCCCGTTATTTCCCGATCATGACAAGAATTTAAGCATACGTGTGATCGGTCAGCAGGGGATGCTCACTCCTCCATGGCACCTGATCCCACCTCTGATGTTTTGGACGTCCGTGTTTGCTCCACTCCCATTTTGTATTTTTAATGGACTTTTGAGTTCGAATACGGTTCGATATTGATGTATATCATTGTATCTTAACAATTTCCTATTTATGATATGGGAGGGGTATAAGAAGAGATGTATATTAACAATAATACATTTCGGAATTTCTCTCAGAAAAATATATTTGAATATGTAAAAATACTCTTCCAATAAAAGTTTTTGAAACACAATTAGTTTATTGAATTGAATTGATTGCAACATGTTCTTATGAATATTTCAAAATTACTGATGTAACCTGTAGCATTGTCTAAATACACCAAACTTTTAGAATGACGGGTTTTCCCTCGCAGATATTTATCTAGGATCTATAGATTTCATTTACAGTTTAATTTATTTCCTTTATTTTTTTTAAATTTCGAAACATTAAAAAAAAACCAGGTCAAGGATCGTATAACGGGTATGTGTGCAGAAAGGGCAAAAAAGTGGTGTTATATCGGAGTCGATTTCCGGTAGGATGCGTAAATACTAATAAAGCAGGGATTAAATAGATCTCCTTGTATGATTGTGTACACATGGTTAAGACGTTAGGGATCACTTTACACGCTCTAGTGATGTTGAATAAAGAATAGATCAACAGTTTGATTATTAATAGGTTATTACTTGCGTCACCGAGACTGCATGGAAGTTTTAGTTCTTTTTCACAAGCTTTCCCGCTGATAACTGATGCAGTGCAGTTGCCAAATATGAAAATGTTTGGTGACAAAAATGGTTTTGTTGTTTAATTTTTTGTAATTTATTTACTTCGATTACACTAAACTTCAGAAGCACTCTTAAATTGTTATCGTTGTCAGGATATAAAGTCTTCTTATCTGTCTTTTTCTCCAATGTACACTTGTCATATACTAAATTATATTTTATCCCATCGTTGTAATCGTTATGTAAGGTCTATTAAAAGAAGTGCAGAAAGCTTTGATAAAACAAGCTATTAAATTCTCAATAACGTAAAGTGATATATTCTTGTTGTCTTTAAACATTTTAAAAAGCATCCGATCCCTCCTCATGTTCTTCATTGGAAGTCTATCTGTTGTACAATATCATCTGATTTTTCTCCCGTTTCTATTTATTAATTATAATTTCGCAAGCAAAGAGTATTTTAAAAACTAGGTATAACTTTTCATGAATTGTTATTATTCCTCAATGAAATGCTAGTATATGGAGAATACGAACAGAGTCAAGCTCAAAAGACCATAAAACAATACTAAATAGTTCTAAGTGGAGCAAACACGGACCTTCAAAACATCAGAGGTGAAATCAGACACCTTGGAGGAGAGAGCATCTCTTGCCGACTGGTCACACCCGCGGTGTGCTCCCTGTCACGATTAGGAAATAAGGGGAAAATCCGTCGTCAATTCATTGTGTAAAAACGGCCTAACAATTAGTATAAAAACGTCAGTCATCATTTATAATTAACTCAATGATAAAACATATGGAGATAATGAACAGTATTCCAGATCAAAAGTCCATAAAACAATACAAAATAGGAGTAGAGAAAACAAGGACCACAAAACATCAGAGGTGGGATCAGGTGCCATGGAGGAGTGAGCATTCCCACATGACCGATCAGACCTGCCTTGTGCTCCTCGCCATAATCGGGAAATAACGGAAAAATCCGTCGTTAGTATATACGTCATTGACTTACAATTAATATGAAAAACTTCTGTCAGCATTTGACTGAATGATAAATTGTATTTGTTGACAAGGTCATTGTATCGACCATAGAGTCTGTTTAAGAACTTACGAAATGATGACTTTAAACGCAACTGCTAATATTCTTGCTTCATTAACTTGTTTCTCAATAATTAACCTCGATTTAGAACTTGTACTTAGTACGAAGAGCATGCTCTTGCGAATCGAATCAACTGAGATATAACTCATTCTTCAGAACTGAATTCAGAAGTGTGACCAAAGGGTTATTTTTTAAAAATAATCAATTTCCTAATTTATGTATATTAACTGAGTCAGTACCCTTTCTGCTTCTGAAAAAAAATTGATGGGAAGATAATCTGAAGTCTTAAAGAGGAGATAGGTGTCCAAATGTACAAGCATGTCTGAAATTTTATGTACGTAACTTGATGTCCACAGTGACTGTTTTTTAAATCAAAAAGCTATTCTTTTCTGGTGAATCCTTTTCGAAGTATATAAACACTAGTTTGTAAGATTTATTGCATGACTTATTCTGCCTTATTCCGTTATAATCAGAAGATATATCCAAGATTACCAATGGACACCGTTACTTACATAAGCACTAAATAAGTAACATATTACTAGAATTTAACAAGTTGTTAAAATATAAAAATAATGTAATCAATAAGGTATAATGAAATCATATTTAATGATATATTAAATGAAATTTATTTAAAAAGTCACAATTTTTATTTCTAGTTTCAAAAAAGGAGAAATTATGTAAGTAACATGGACACCTAACTCCGAATCAGGCTTTAAAAAGGAACAAAAAAATAACAAGACAATCAAACAATTGTCTTTAATACTTTTAATATTTCATTTCAAAGCTTAATAAAAAACTAGCTTTCAGACAGAATCAATGCAGACAAGTAAAATGTCAGATGGATGCTAAATATCCTCATTCTTCTATTTTGAGTCTTGTGGATCTTTGTGTCATTGTTACGAACATAATTCAGTCATTTCTTGTAAATCTGAAAGAAAAAAATATATAGAACAAAATACACTTTGATGTAATCAATACATATGCTGTTTAATTATATTTATTATATATCCTTGAAAAAAAAACAGAAACAAGGCAACTAAAGCACAAATATGTCACTACTTCAAGTTTTCGTGTCTCCTTTACGAACGTAATTGCGTAAACGATATGTCAATCTTAAAAAAAAAATATTCAATAAGTTTTCAACCCTTGATATGAACAGAAGAAAACTAACAAATATAGAATAAAATATAGTACAATATAACATTCTCATTAATATATTATACAAATAATGTAAAAACACTTATGTTCGTAACAAAAGACGCTAATCAAGTCAAATGTTAAACTGAAAGTACTCGACTCGGACAGATTTATGGATTTTGTATGGTCATAAGCGACATATTTTAGTTTCTGATTAATAGCTACATGGTATAAAGATACAATGACTGTATTTATGTCATCAAATTGATACAATATGAATATACTTACCGAATCTATTATGTACGTAACTTCTGTCTTCCACGTGGACACAATGAGCATCGCCATGTTTTCTAGCAGAAAGCTGCGCCACCCGTCTACTTTCGTTTTCAATTTATAATTATACCACTGCTACGGACTTCCTGAGCCAAATTTATGATTCATTGGCTGTTATTTAGCAATCATACTGAAAGCTATTATGTTCATAACGATCAAGACACCAAACATTTTACAATTAGAGATCATTTTAAAATTACAAAAAGAACTGAGTTATGTTCATGAAGCATATTGTTAAAAATAATATATCACACATACTCATTAATTAAACACATAAATTGAACTTGACAAAATTATTTAATGTTTGTAGAGAGGTGTCAAAAACTTCAATGCATATGGACTCAATGCATTACGAACATAAACCATATATTTTTAAGCTCAGAAAAAAATAATTAGGATAGTTTTAGCATGTTTGACAAATTAAATATATTATTTCATTTAAATGCTAAGAGAATGTACACATATATCATGCCAAATGATTTTATTTTTAAATAAAACAATATCTTTATGCCGATTCGAAAATTATGTCACATTTTCTGTGATTGAAAATCCCTAAATGCAATATAACAATGACCAATATTTTTTTTATTCCTCAACTCACTTTAATAAAACTATTTATACTATATCCTTACACAAGTATCAAATCATATCAATATCAATCTATCTGCTAACACATTATTTATTGGTAAATAAAGGAGAAAAGAAATATATTTCAAAAATTCACCAGTATTGAAGAATGAGTTATATATAAACCCTGTATGCAGGTGATGAAAATATATTGCTGCCTAAGTAAGGGAAGTTGATAAGTTAAAGTAATCACGTTTTCTCCCCTAGCTTACTTGTTGGATTACCATTAACGTCTTTATCAAGTAAAATATCCAAATATGAAACATATGTTTCAGAATCTGTGGTATCTTATGTCTCAAGTTCACCAAGATATACCGTTATCGTATCGACACAAGAATGGAAATCACCATTGATAATTGACAATACGTCGTCGATATATCTAAATGTCGAGTTGAAGGATACAACAAGTGTTTTCTTCTTTTCACGTACAAGATTTTGGACAAATTTTGCTAGAAAACTCAAGCGAATTAGATAAATCATAAGTACTTTAGTTAAAGATTCAATACGGAGCTCTTCTAAACGATTGTTTTCTTCATGTACGGCAAGTCTCACACCCAACTAATATTCTAGAAGTGTGCATCATTAAAAGCAACATTTCTGCAATATTGGTCTGATAGGGTAGCAGTTTCTAGGTTTGAAATTACACAAAAAGATTGTCCATTTTTTTTGTCACTAACGACCCAGAAGTCAAGTCCAACACCTGAAAAAAGTTTGAGAGTGTTTAACCATTGAAGCACCATACAAGTTAAAACTTGGTAGGACTTAAAGTTAAACCGGAATAAGTCTGCTCTAACACTTTAACTGGGCACTTATCTGGAAAATGAAGATCAAATTTAGTATCTGAAGTAACTGGTAATGTGCATCGCTTGATTCATCAACCTTGCAACTTTGGTTCAGATAGGTCTTATAGTTTCTTGGTAATGAGACTGCTCAAAAAACCCAGCATCTGAAACAACTCTAGTGGTATTCATCCCTTGATGCATCATCTAGGCAAGTTGGAGCTTCAAGTTACCTAAAATTTGTTCCAAAAACTTCAGTATTTTCATTCATCCAGAAAATGTAGGTCAAATCCAGCATCCGAAATAGGCCTGGAAGTGTGCATCCTTATATGAATCCTCCAAAAACTTGAACGAACATGTCCCAAAACATTAACCTAGCCATTGCTGTGATTGAAGCATCTGGATCTTTTGCCGATATGAAACATACTAGAAGCATCGACCATATATTTTCGATTAATACAGAAGATATGGTACGCTCCAAAAACTTAAACCTGAGGTGTCGATGCCGAAAGTATTTCATATCCTTTTCCTCTTTCATTAAGCCGAGCTTAAAAAAACACTCTATTAAGTATGTATGTTTCTATTCACACTTCATTTTTCTAGGTTTAAAAAATAAAAATTACGATGATTGAAATGGAATGTTATTTTTAAAAAAAAAAAAATAAAGTAAATAGGTTTTTTTTTGTTTTATGTTTCTTTAGATAAAACAGAACGTTCGAGAGTTACAGAACATCATTTTAGAGAAAGAAAAGCACCTGTCCCACGCGATGGTGAAGACGGAGAGTTTACATCTTACCCTGGGGGTGTACCACCTAGAGGACGAGGAAAGGGTTTCCCAGTAAGACATTTACTCCCGGGATAATTTACACACCAATAAAAGTAAAGTGAAAGGGTCGCCCAGTGAGAAATTTACTCCAGGGATAATCCATACCCCAGAAAAAGTAAACTGAATAAAGAAAATGAACGTCTGTAATCTCTCTCAAATAAAAAAAAATATTTACAGGGCAGCAGAAGCTTTGGAAAAATTTCACAGTAAACTGAAGACTTCGGATTTTACGCCACCAAGTTTGAATGTTTCTATGGTGGGACATTTTAGACACCAAGTTTTGTTCGCCTCAGTGGCAAAGGATGAAGGATTAGATGTTCTCAACAGCCTCGTTAGTGAGTAGATTTCAACAACACATTAGTGAGTACAAACAGATAGCAACATTATTATTAGTGAATACAGATATATCTTCTCGACAATATCGTTACCGTACAAAAGATGAAATATATGGAGATAACGAACAGCATTCAAGCTCAAAAGTCCATAAAACAATACAAAGTTTGAGCAGTGCAAACACAGTCCTCCAAAACAAATATAGGATCAGGTGTCATGGAGTAGTGAGCATCCCCTGCCGACGGTCACACCCGCTGTTTGCTCCTTGTCATTATCGGGAACCAACGGAAGAAACTTAGTTATTCAGTGTGTAATTAATGGTCTAACATAATAAGTATGAAAAACGCCAGTCAGCATTTGATTAGATGATAATTTGTATTTGCTGACAATTGCATTTCATCGACCATAGAACTTACAAAATGATGATTTTAAACGAGACTGTTGACATTCTTTCTTCAATATCTTGTTTTTCAATAATTTACATCGTTTTAGAAATTGTATACGTAGAGCATACACTTACGTATCGAATTAATTGAGAGATACAAACCCCGTATGCTGGAGATGAAGGCATATTGCTGTATAAGTGAGGGAAGTTGACCATTGCAAAGTGAAAGTCATCACTTTTATCATAAACCTTGTTTGTTAGATTACCATTAACGTCTTTTCCAATTAAAATATTCAAATATGAAACAGATGTGTCGGACTCTGTGGTACCTTTTCTATCAAGTTCGATATATCAAAAATGGAAATAGCCATTGTGAATTGACAATACGTCGCCGATATATCTTAATTTCGAGTTGATGGCCATAGCAAGTGTTTTCTTCTTTTCACATATAAGACTAAACAAATTCTGCTTCATATGAATAAAAAAATGTCTGCTTATAATGTGGCCCAATTTATAGCCATGGGAATCCCAATAGATTGTTGGAGTACTGGTCTCCAAAAACCACATAGATATCGCCAATTAGAAACCTAAACATCTTTTTGATGTCAGCTTCAGAGAACTTGTACAAAACAATATAAATGACCAATAACAAGTGAAATGAATTGACGAGTTCCATTTTTATTGATAAAAAATGTCAGTTATATAAAAAAGCCTGTACTTTTAATTTATTGTGGGGAGTTGTTGTGAGAAGGATATGGAGATAACGAACAGTATTCAATCTCAAAGTCCATAAAACAATACAAAATAAGAGCAGAGCAAATACAGACCCCCGAAACATCAGAGGTGGGATCAGATGCCATGGAGGAGTGAGCATCCCTTGCCGACCGGTCACCCCCGCAGAGTGCTCCTTGTCATTATCAGGAAATAATAACATTTAAAAGTCGTAAGCGTTTTAGTTTGGGATCCATCATCATCGTTAGTGTGTACAACTAAGATCTCAGCCAATTTATGTTGGCCAACTTTTTTTCCCTGAAACTATGTTTTTGTCTATTTTGGTTTTGTAGAAGATGTAAGGAAATCTCTGGAGACTGACGGGTTTGTTGCCACGGACGACAGATACACTCCGCACATCACAATCGGAAAGATGTCCAAGAACATGCCAAAACTTCGAAAACTGGGTATATTTATAATTCATTCTATGTGTGAAAATTGTCAGGAATCCTCTCGTTTAAACAGCTATAATGTATTTAATAGACCTTTTCACCTATTTTAGAAGTGATTCTTTATTTTACAATGGCTATCGATATTTTTACAAACGATAGTTTTCGGCTATTTTTGGCTAGGTATAAAGAGAATTGAGCCAACGCATTATGAAGAGAAGAAGAGCATCTACTTCGGAAAACAGACGGCGGAGAGTATCCAGCTCTGTTCTATGATTAAACCAAAGACAGAATCTGGGTATTACCACGTAGAACACGAAATCAGATTCCAGTTATCCGAGGAAACGGAAGATCAATGATATCCATATTGCTCTTTAAAGACTAATCCACTGGAATTGCATCAAGCAGATTCAGACTGGCTTTTGAGTGTGAAAGTGCTTCTATTAAGTGTGCTTGTTAAAAAATCAGACAGAATTAATATTTCAAGGAATGTTCAGATCCATGTCGACTAATCAGCGGGTTGAAAATTGACCAAACTGAATCCTTTTAATTAAGGGGTTTCACCATCGGATCGTTCGGGAAGAAAACGGGATGTAGATATGAAATAGTGCTAGATATCGGATAACTCACAGGACACAAAACATCGGCAATCATAACATTAAAGTCCTGCATGTTCCTGAAGAGCACCGACGCTTTAAGTACCACTAACACCTAGCATAGACTTTAGAACTTAACGATAAAGCATTGACATAGGGATGTTATCGTGAGTGACAATGATGCTCTAAATGATACGCTTTGTGATTCATGCACATGATGAATAGTAGATGCATTTGGTTACCATATTACAAATGTTATGCGACATTTGTACGTAAGACAAAAGTCAACAAAAACATTTGTTGAATGAAA